TATCAACGACCTGTGGGACCGAAACCTGGACCCTCTTGTCGAAAGAACGAGGTTACGACCCATTGCAAGGAGAGCGATTTCGCCGCAAAACGCCCTAGTCTTTACTGGCACTCAGCTCCTGGTGGGTTTAGGGGTTCTGCTGCAATTCCCTAGCCAATGTTTATCGTATGGGATTCCAAGTCTATTGCTTGTCGGCACGTATCCGCTAGCAAAGCGAGTTACGAACTATCCCCAGTTCGTCCTAGGGCTGACCTTCTCGTGGGGCGCCATGATGGGCTTCCCGGCCCTAAATGTAGATGTGCTAGCGGACATCAATACCATGCTGGCTGCGTCTGCGCTGTACTCTAGCTGTGTGTCTTGGACTATACTCTATGATATGATCTACGCGCATATGGACGTCAAAGATGATGCCGCTGCTGGCATCAAGTCGATTGCTCTGAAACATAAACACAACACCAAGGCAGTTCTCTCTGCGTTGGCAGTAGCCCAGGTCGGCTTCCTTGCCGTATCAGGCGTGGCTGTTAATGCCGGTCCAATTTTCTTCATTGGAAGCTGTGGCAGTGCCGTTGCCTCCCTGGCCACAATGATATGGAAAGTCAAGTTGAGCGATGTTGGAATCTGTTGGTGGTGGTTTAAGAATGGATGCTGGATCACAGGAGGTGGAATAACACTTGGATTGTTAGGCGAATACCTGGCTCAGCTATTTGGGTTGTATGAGACTGCCGATTCTGTGGTTGAAGGGAGTAAGAGCATGAAAGACCTATGATGATGAGGTTGACAGTTCAATTGTTCCCCATGAGATTTGTATTATTATTATTGATATATATTTTATATTCTTTGTATATAGATGCTGCTAGCCAATATTTTTCGTTTTCGTCTTCTATAAAATTCATTTCATAAGAGAATCTTCATCTACAATAAAATTAAAATAATACCATCCAACACGTCAAGAAGCACTGCTTGGTTAGCAACCCATTTTAACTAGTTAACGGAATCCACCCACCGAACCGCGATTCTCTCTTGACAATCATCAGATATTCAACTCAACCATCTTCAACACGTCATTTTTTTCATGTTTTTAATTCAAAATGTCTTTATCTCAAGAATCTCACATATAGTTGACTATTGCTGCATGTAAATCAAAAGAAGTAAATAAATTAAAAATGAATGCTGAAAGATATATATGTAATATCTAAAACTACTCTATGAATGACTTGCTGACGTCGAATCACACTCAGAAACACACACAAATAATAAATTGACAGAAATTGAAGAAAAGACTCTTCTCAAACAATTACTCAGTTCTATCAAAAATCATCTTTCAACTGTATACGTTAATATCACTGCTATCATTTTTAGTGAATACTAAGAACTCAATATCTTCAGCATTTCCACCATTTTAAATCACTTGTCAGTTTGATCACAAGATTTATCAGAAGTCTTAATAAGAAGAGACATCTATCTAGCAGCCTAATATCTCATCTTTAACTTCTTAAGAAGATTATACAGATGACAATGAATAATAATCTCCTTCTTCATCAAGAGTCAAGATTCTACAAGCAGAGAATGAGTGGAAGATGAAGAAAAACACACAGAGGCATGTTAATCTAGATCAGGATACTATTCTATCTATATAAAAAGATCATGAGCATGTTCAGCAGCTTGATATACAGATTGGAGCTCAGACTGAAGCTATCTCATTAGCAAGCTCCATCACTCTGTAGTGACTATTGAACATATTATATGCAGTTGCCCTAATAAGTAGCTACATATTCAACTATTAGATAGTCTTAATATATTAATATTTTCAATATTTAAGTGTGTTGATTGTTGGATACATGAATACTTGGATGATTTTCAGAGAGAATCCGCGGTTCGATGGTGGATTACGTTAACTACTAGTTAACTAACTAGTTAACTAGTTAATAGTTGGTTGTGGCGTCTGTCAGGAAACGCTGTCGTATCCTTGAACTTCTTGGACAACACCTTGACTTGACAGATACGATACGGAGTAGACCTCTCCAGAACCCCTCATATTTCCATTCCATCTTAATAAAAAGCCTCGCCATTCTACATTCTAACCATGGCTGCCAGAATAGTCATGACTCCGGTAAGTATTATTCCTGCTAGCAACCTCAGAAATCGCTTCACCGGGAAATCAAGAGCGGCTCTAACAAATCCATCTCAAGACATCGCGTTGCTTCCCAAGGCCAAGAGTCGCATTATACAACAGACCGTCGCCATTCCTGAACTCCCTCCCTCTCCAGATCCGCCTGCTTTCCGACGCGACAAGAGCTGCTATTGACAAAGCGGTTGGGTCTGCGCCAGTCGTATTGTTCATGAAAGGCACACCAGAGACACCCCAGTGCGGGTTCTCAAGAGCAAGCATACAAATTCTCGGCCTCCAAGGGGTTGATCCGAAGAAATTCACCGCATTCAATGTCTTGGAAGATCCGGAGCTGCGGCAGGGTAAGCTCCCTCCATATCATCCCCAGATCTCGCAGAATCCGACTTTTAAATCCAGCAGGGTAGTGCTCTAGGTTTTGTTTTGTTTTTAGCTAACGTTTCATTTGCTATTCTGCAGGCATCAAGGAATACTCAGACTGGCCTACGATCCCGCAGATGTATTTGGACAAGGAGTTTATCGGCGGGTGCGATATATTAATGTCTATGCATCAAAACGGGGAACTGGCGAAGCTGCTGGAAGAAAAAGGGGTGCTTGTCCCAGCTGAAGGAGAGAGTGATGTGGAGAAATGAAAGGGAATATACGCTATATACATGATGCAAAGAAATAATAACGACACCACCCCGGGTCCTGTCGGATCTGCTGTACCATATGATTCTCATTTTTGAAGTTTGCCCCTTTTCTCTACATATATATATATATATATATATATATATGTTGAAGTATTTTGTTTTGCGGTTTCTTGTCCTGCTATTGTTCTGTATTTCCGAGAGCGTCCAGCATACAGCTTACAGCATGCAGCTGGCAGATTAATTATGAGTATACACGCGTACCTATTTGATATTTACATATTTATCACCTTAGCGTTTCGCGCATTTCCGTCTTTACAATTCTTGTTGTCAGAGCTTTGTGGTGTTTATCCTCTCTAGGGGTGACTTTTGCCTGACCGCCCCAAAGAGGGAATCTGGTAAGTTTGAGGCTCGCTCCCCGGGCTCCAGCTTGGATTCCCCTACAAAATCCTCTACCTAGCTCCTCAACTCACCTCAGTCTTCAGTCCTGGAGTTGGGACTCCCTCTTGTCATTTATATTGTGTATCCCGCTCCCAAGCAGTGTCTCCCCGGTTTCCTTAGGAATTCATCGTACATTAATATACCGTCACCAATCAAACCACATCCTCAATCCCCTTAAAGCTTGGAACGAGATGTCTCGTCCCCCAGGGAAACAAGCAGTATCCGCACGTGGTATCTTTGCCCGAAAGCCTGCCCAGAAAAATGCGACAGCCCCGAAAGCTGTCAGCCATTACGACATGAAAAAGGGGCAGCCTTCCCCTCCTCCAAAAGCAAGAGTCTCCAAGGGGTTCAAGGGGTCGAAGGGGTCGAAGCAGGCCAAGTCAACCCATATCGCGCGTCATAGCCAGAGAGCACCAGGCTCTTCAAAGGGAGGAAGTAGTAATAGTACTTCTATGCCTGGCGGAGAGCGTCTCCTACATAACTTCGTCGGTGTGTCAAAGATATACATCCGTTTCTTCCCCTTAATCCAGAGTCTATTCCTGCTTTTGACTGAACCCTTTCTCATCCTCCAAAGATTCAATCGATAGCACTCGCACCCAAATCCAAGAGGAAGTTTCCATTTCCCTTGCGGAAGCAGAGCAGGTATTGGAGAAACGACTTGCCCAAACGGTTTCCAAGTACAGCGAGAAACTCAGTATTTCCCGGAATACTCGCAAAGACATTTTCTTGCCCGTGGAGATAGAACACCCAACCATATCACTAAAGCCGAAACCTTCTCTGGTTCAAGGCGCAGACAAAGACAAAGCCCATCTCGTCGACGTCCGAAATAGTCTCGACGCTCACGAGCAAGCTCTGAAAAGCCATTGGAAAGCCTGGAGCAGAACCCAGCAGAAGATCGCCTGTCTGGCCGTGGAGATACTCGGGCCTGACGCCGTTAGCCTTCCACCGCTAACGAAAGATGCCATGGGTTCAGGGACGTTTCAGAAGCGACTCGCCCGGGCGACTGATGCGTTCGAGAAAAATATGGCGGCTGTGGAAGGGAAGATGATAGAGGATGCGCAGAAGACAAGAGATGATATCGCATGCCTTTTGAGGGATATGAGGAAACAAGTCAATATCCAGGAGAAGGTATTTTATCTCTTATATCATGTTGTCGATTCATCTCTTCTGTCAAACTTACTACCTCTACGTTTGATGATTTTGGGAAGTTGATTTGGTGATGGATTTAACTTTTTTTCATAGAAATCCCGCGACGGTAAACGTAAACAGCGGGAAGAGATATGCCAGTTAACCAAAAAGATAATTGCGAGCATCTGATAATTGACAGATACAAGAAACAATTAAATACGGGAGTCGGTTCGAGAGTCTGGAGGACGAACGTCTTTTATATATGTTTTACGGTTCTAACTAACTTCAACTGGCTATACCTTAATTTATATCTATAGGGTTACAAGGTGCTACCAGTCATATAATTAATGAATTTTTCCTTTTGTTCCTCTAGACGTTATGCTCTTGCTGTTCGAAAAGTTGAACTTGTTTATCTAAAACGATTAATGCGTAGTTATAGATGAATCAAGTGCCTCGCAAAACTTCCTTTCCCGATCCTCGTTTACTTGAGATCGTAAGAATCAACCATTGTAAGTAAAATAACCTCCATGACCCAAGTTCATCACGTCTATTTTGGAAAGAAAACGAATTGTTCCTGGTATATAGCAAAGACAAAAAAGTTACATGATCTACATTTTTAATTACGTCTAGCTTCATCTTCTCCTTTCCCAATAGCTATTTGGAGCCCCCTGTCGCCTCTACTGCTGTTGCTGTTGCTGTTCCAGCGCCTCCTTCTCTCTAAACTCTGCCTCCTTGGCAGCTTTCAAAAGTTTAGTGCGTTGCCTTTCCTCGAATGCTTCCCGGCTCTTCAAAATCCGCTGCACGATCTCGCCGGCGTTCACATGTTGGAAGGGATGGGAGTCCACTTGTCTGAAAATCCCGAGTTTGGTCGGCACGACGTACGGATCATACGTGAGGGGGATGAATGTTGTTGGGCCGTGGTATACTGCGTCAGGCATGCCAAATGGTAGTTCTTCGAGGTAGGCGAGATTGGGCGTAAAGGGCGCGCAGAATATCACTGCGTGGACGAACTACAGGGTGCGTTTGTCAGATTCATTGTGTATTTACTTATTGTCGACCTCCAAGTCGTAGGTACAAGTAAAATTGGCAATGGGGCGTGTACTTACTCGACACTGGAGGACACAAAGTCCCCGCTCGAATATATTCATAATGGGGTAATTCAGACCCTTCCAGTGATTGATGACCTCGTCGTCATGGACGCCGGCCACAATGTAAGCTGGACCATAATCTTCTCCATATTGCTTGGTTCGTTTATCAACGTTCTCTGGAAGATACCAGCCGCGTTCAGTGGCATCCTCAGTTTCTATGGAAAGTACACTGCGGAGGAATTCGATGTGGCCAGATGAAAAGAGATCAAAACCACCATCAACGTAGACGATCCGCTGGCCGGCTTTCGGGCCCTTGCCCTCAACGAGATGTTGGAAGCTACCAGACTCAGTGCTGCGATGTCCCAGTTTTGCAGCAGCGGATGCATCCCAAGTCCAGACATCAGGACCGGGCAGGAAGCCGGTTTCATCGGTTGCATAGTCTTTGATTCTCTGGAGCGACTCGTTGGCAACTTGCCTTCGCTCTTCGGGGCTGCCGACACCCTCATCCCCTCTCAAGAATGCCGGGAAGGACTTGATGAAATGGGTGCGGGTGAAAAGCAACATCCTGCCCACCAGGTCCGTTGTAGATATTCCCGGGGTACGCTTCACCACCAGGAACCGCCCAGCGGCCTTGACGAAGCGGTAACAGTCATTCCCGTTGCTGTCGGAAGTTATATCGTCGCCGTGAACGACATAGTAGCATCCGTAGTGGGAAATCCAGGGCAGCTGAGTGACATAGGGGGCGTGAGGGATTGACTTTGACGCCCAGCGACATGCGTCGACTGCCGCGACCCTTTTTTTTTTTTTAATTGGCACCAAACACGTCAAGTTAGCGATATATTTGTCGGTTGCCGCGTTTTAAACGAAATAAAGCAACCAGCAGACCTAGACCTTTTAAGGGGTGTTGGACGAACCGTTCAGCAAGGGTCATAACGGTAGGCCCCTTGTTCTCGAGAATCTCTTCATCAGAATGGACGCCCACGTACAGCTCCTGGCCCAGTCTGCGGGCTTGGAGCATAGCTCCTGCATGGCCTGCAGTTGAGCTGCGCCGTTAATATCAAGTACGCAGGCAAAAGATGGATTCCATGCCATCCATTGCACACACAACTCACCGTGGTGGCTAAAGTCGAAACAACCGTCTATCCAGATACGCTCTTTGGAGATGGGGACATCTTCTTGGGGATCTACAGGCCACTGGCCGGGCGGAGGCACGGGCACGGGCACGGGATGCTCTGATGATGTTGACATGGTCGTTAAGAAGGGGGGGTTGGGTTTTCAAGGGGAGGACGAGTATCGCGGTGGTTGGTTACCAGGAATTTAACCAAGTTGGGTCAATTGAGCGTTCGCTACCATGGAGAGAGGTGTTCCACACCTGAGGATAACGGGGGTCCTTGGATCAAGGGGAGCTGTTTAACGACCAATTGGGAGCCGGAAGCGAAGGGAAATATTTTCTGCATTTGAATGAGTCAAACTAGTTTTGTTTCATTTATTAGTTAACTAAACAACTGTTTGTTGATTTAGTTCCAGTTGAAACGCTGCCAAACACACGGCAACCCACCGCTTAGGATGGTGAGGAATCCTGCTGGCAAGCCCCTAACTACTACGCTTTTTCTACAATAGCTACATAGCTACAATAATAAATAACCAACCAACCGTTGCTGTCTGTCTGTTTCCTCGGTCTGCAGCTCGTTCTTCAGCGGCAAGTTTCCTCTTGCATGTTAAACTGCTCGACTGCACTGCTCCGGGGGACAAATGGAATGAATGGTTGGATGAACCGTCACTTCAGATGCTACCCTCCGTGTCTCCGTGGAGAGGTAGATCTAACCCCTAAATCCCTCCTCCGTATAACAATGGCGTTGGGCCCCCGTGTACATAACGTTTAACTGCTGTTGACCCTCTTCGATCTCCTGTGGCCCTCTTCAGTCAAATAGACATCCAACAGTAATAAGAAATCATTTTCAACTCGATGCGGATGGAATAAACAAGTCCCCCCCCTGGAATCCGCGGGCTTTTACTTATTTCTCTCTCTCTTTCTCGAATATTTCACCCACTCTCTGCCGCCGAATCCGCCAACCCCAGCTGGGGTCCCGTACGAAGCCCCAGAATAGCTAGCTACTTAGCGGTTGTCCACATACTTACTTCAACTAAGTCTAATTACGGCCAAATACATACTTTGCAAATCAAGCGACGTGCTTATGGACCCCAGGCCGTATCATTGGCCCTACCACCTCAAGGTACAGAACCTCCAAAATGCCAATGGGTCCATGTCCATGTATCCCCCCCCCGTATGTTTATACAACATGCATGCAGTACATACGGACTCTTCGCCCCGCCGACATTCAACGTTTGCACCCGGCGACTTAGTTCAACTTCACTAACCCGCCATGTAACTAAAGCAGACCCAACTGTTACCCCCCCGGCGAAGTGCTCTGGTTTTGCGCCAACTGGTTGAACAAGAAAAGAGACAGACAGCTGCGCCATGAGCCATCCTTACGACCATCTCCCGGGCATCAACGATGGCAGCACCTACGATCAGGATTTGACCCGCCAACGTGCGGCATCCAGCAGCATCGGGAACCCCTCTGTCGTCAGGGCTCCGGCCAATAATAATAAAAATAATAATAATGATAATAATGTCCCAGTGAGTCGAGTCGAGACCCCCAGCCGTCCGGCGTTCTTCTCGAGAAACCGGTCCTTGTCCAGATCCTCCAGCCAGCGCCAAATGATAAAGCCCTCGATCTCTCTCACTCCCTTGTCCAGCTCAACCTCCGCCAATTCTACAGCCGCTTCCGCGACGCTGACGGTGACGACGACGGGGACGACAACAACTACTACGACTTCTGTTACGAATGCGGCCGCCAATTCTCCAGAACGGCGTCTGCCCAGAGAGTCCTCCACCAAACGCAAGGGACCAAGCGCTCGCAATAATATCAAAGGCAGAGGAATCTCGCGGCTGATCATTCCATCCCTTTCCCACCATTCGAGTTATCTCACCTCCCCCATTGACCTCCAAGCGGCTCCCCCCACGCCTATGGAGGCGTCGACCTCCTCCTGGGGTAAATCCCCAAATACCGCGAATGCAGGTCCGGACCCGTTCCTCAGCTATGGCGCGTTATCAATGCCAGCTGTATCGTCAAGTGGAGGTTCATATGGCCTGCAGAGCGCCAGTTCAATCTATGCTAACATCCACCAAATGTCGTCAAAGCGGATATCGACACTAGATTATTTGCGGAAGGCGTAAGAACCCCAATCCCCCTCCTCCCCAGGCGCAGCTCGTTCCTCGGTATTTGCGCTTAATGTTAAACCACCAACCACACCCACCCTCTCTCAGTGATGCCTTTCTTAACTAATTTTTTTTTTTTTTTTTTTTTTTGGCGGACTATATGAAACACAGTCACGAAGGCCGCGTCTACTGGTTCAACACAGTCCACTTCTCAAAATCAGACCTCTCCCGACTCTCATACTTCGAACAACGGAAACTCTCCCGCCGCGCAACCAACTATCTCCTCCTGGGCCTCTCCCTCCCCCCCATCCTCGACGTCAACTCAACACCATTCGAATACCTCCGCGCCTTAAACGCCCTTCTCCTCGAATTCGAAACATTCCAACAAGCCCACCCGGCCGACGGGAACACCTCATCCTCCCTCACCCGCGCACGGATACCCCACATGTTCAAACGCTCCGTCCACTCAGGCACCAAGACCCGGCGCACGAGCTCAGCCACGGAAATCGGACTGCCCATGCAAACCACCGACCCATCAGACATCAAAGCCATGACGGGCAACATCGCGACGTCGATCAATCCTACCTCCTCGGCCTCTTCCTACCCTTCCAACTCGGACTCCTCGGACCTCCTACCGGGCGAAGAATACACGTACCTCCTCACGCCGACTTTGCCGTTCGATCCGGACTTCTTTCAGACGTTTTCGTCGCTGTGCGATGTGCTGATTGATTGCTACACGAGACTTATGGCGTTGGTTTCGGGGCCGTCTGTTTGCACTGCTGTTGTTGGGGAGATGTTTAACAAGGCTGATTCGAGGCTGCGGAAGATTATGATTGCGGGTGTGGTGAGGGAGTTTGAGGATGCTAGTCGCAGTAAAGTCAAGTCGGAGGCTGCAGGTGTGAGCAAGGTGGTTCTTGGAGGGCTCCTGGGCTGAGTTCACGCCCTCTCTTTGATTTTGAGATGTTCTTTGCTTGCTCTTGGCGCTTCGCACTCTGCACCTTCATATGGTGCTTTTATTTGATTTTGTAAAGAGTTATGGGATCTATGTAATGATTACGTATTATGGCTTTCTGTTTTAAGAATAGTCTTTCCTTAAATCGTTTTGATATTTATATTTCTATTATATGTATATATGAACTACGCATAACTGATGTTGAGATAAAAGAGTGCTGCAGCTGAAAAGTCAACTATCTGCCTTCAGCGCAAGGATATACAGACGAGGATTGCAATAGTGGGATTGATCGTAGCTGATGTCCAAAGGACGAGAAATAAAAGATGATTTTTTTTTTTTTACCTGACGAAAGGCTCTAATATCTGTCGGGATATTGTTCACTCTTAACATGAGCAATACTATGTGTGTTTGCATCAACATATATACAGAAAAAAGTCAACGCTAATAATTACAGAATCTCGTTCAATACATCAAACAAAAATAGAGGGGGTCAAAAAAGAAAAAAAAAAAAAAATATATCACAGAATTATATATGCTTGCGCCATGTTGCGCCAAAACCCAAAATCAAAAACTCATTTTAACTTTCCGCCCCCCATTCCCCCGGCAAAAAGGACGTATTTTTTTTCAGGCGCAAATCAACAAAATAGAAGGATCAAACAAAGAAGGTTTAAGTTCCCTTCGGCTATGAGTCGCAGGCGTTTTCGGCAAGTGTAATCTCGATATCGATGCAATCGCTCGGTGATGAAAGGAGAAAACGGTGTATGCTATATGGGATAAGGCAAACGGCACTTGACATGAAGATGTATAGCGAACTTAGAAGAGACGTAGCGGAGAGGAACCTGTGGAGGTGGAGTGTGGAGGGGTTATCCAGGGAGATGCACGAAGGTGGCGTTGCGTTATTGAGCCTGTTTCCTCGCTTCCCATTCCCGCTGTTCCCCAAATACCCTCCGACTCATTTCGAGTACTGCTTCAAAACCCTCACGTCCCTTCATAGCGTTCTGGCTAAATCGTTCGATGCTCGCTTCTTCGACTTTGTTTTTTATCTTCTGCCACCCGCTGCAGACGGCAGTTATCTGTGCGTCCTGCTTGAACTCTGTCTTGGCGTTCGGGGCACCCCGGGATGGCTGGTAAGTGACCGTTTCCCGGACTTTGAGAACATTCGACCATGTCAGGTTCGTTGAGCACATTGTCACTCGCTTTGAGACAGGGTCGACGTATGAGACTTCGTATACGTGGGAGGTGGCGTTGCCACCGAACAGTGTTAGGAGCCACTGCGGGGCGGACTGGTTGCAGGTTATCAGACGTTCTGTTCGTAACTACACAAAATAAGCAACGGTGTCAGCGGGTCAAAACTAGCAAGAACAGTGGTAATGATGGTAGCGGTAATTGTAATGGTCAGAGAGAAGATCTAAGATGTGAGAATTGCAACTCACAATGCCGGTATCAGGTTGCAGTGTCCGGGAGAGAATATCCACAGCAACAACGTGTGTCGATTTATCATTCCACGGACAGTACTTCCGCCAGTTGGCAGTAGACACCTCCTCCCATGAGTAATCAAACGTGCAACTTGAGGCGAAGACCTTCATATTTTGAATATCTAGAATAGAGTCGAAAATGGCGATCTAGACAGGACACCGGACCGAGTGAGACAACCGGCCTTTTCGTGCTTGAGACCAGGCAACGCAGAGAGATAAGACAATTGAATAACCTCAATCAACGCAAGCAAAGGCAGGCAGGCATATGGCGGCCTGGAGACAGTGAGCGATGGAAATTATCCTACTGTATACGGCGAGAGGAGAGGAGATTAAGCAGCGTTTTCAATCGACGCGGTTAAATGACAAATCAAGTCATAACAACCGGAATTACCGTGCCGCGGGAGAAGGGCGTTCTATGATATTAGAACACAAAGGACGACAGCCCTGACGCTGGTCGAGGGAGAGGAGATTGAGCAGCGTTTGGCAAACGAATGGCAGCAAGAGAACCAATGCCGGTGATGGCTGAGAGCGTTGAGCAGAGACGTATTTCACAAGCAAGAACCAGGGCGTCTGGAGTAAAAAGTTTTGCTCCGGGATCGTCCGCCCTTTCAGCCTCAAGCCTGGGACTGCACCCGGGACTCGGAATATCTGTTTTCCCGGCAGAAGTCGCCGCCCGCACTTAGTCAGTGGTTAGTAAGCCTTGTCATCATTTGCTTGCGCTGTGATTGGCTGCGGCATTGCACCGCTCAGCAAAAAAATATCGGTTTGCAAGAGGATCTCGATCAAGGAGGCAGGCATTTTACGGAGTAACGACTCCGTCCATGCGACAGAAGTATGCCATGCGGACGTGAGACCTAAATACGGGGCTGCTTTTGCAATCGCTGTCCTCAGCATCTAGGCGCGCACATACCGAATCCTCACTCACCATAGAGCACACGGGCAGTGGAGGCAGTGAAATCTCTCTCTCTGAACTTCAGTATGACCTGCTCTGCCGTTGAAATCGCCCAGTTGCTCTCCTCAACGCCTGAGCTTTTCTTGAAACCGACAACCTCCTTACATACCGAATGGGTGACTGCGACAAAGCGATATCTTGACCCGCTAGCGTCAGATATCACTAAGACACAGAGAAGACGCCTACAGGACAAACGGAAACGGAAAGACGCTGATGGACTTGGACCGTTCCATGCCAAAGCTCTACGCCTGCAAGAGATTCATGTGAATGGCTTCACTACGCGCCAGGTCTGGGAACAGGCTAATAGGGTACTAGAGGCCGCTGCACAGAATACCGCACAAGAACTTTCTCGCCTTAGAGAATCGGAGGAGGAAATTCTGCCTTCCAAGTATTCCTCGCATAAAGGGGCACGGGGGATCCATCGCGATGATAGTCAGCTCGGAATTACCTCCCAAGACGATGAAGTCTCTGACGATTTCACCGGTGACGGTTTGGACAATTTGAAGAATGGCGAGAGCTCAGACAGTAACGAGGATGGCGGGGAACTGATGACGGATAATGCCGGTGATAGGGATGATTCTATGTCGATCGACGCTGAGACCCCAGATCCGCAGTCAAAGAAACCCACGAACTCTACAGGAGCTGACAGTGTCTCATTTATCCCTGACCCTAACAAACTTAATGACGGGTTTTTCTCAATCGACGAGTTCAACGCGCAGACGGCTCTATTTGAGAGGAAAGACGTGAAAGGAATACAGGATGATGACGAGGACGACGATGAGGAAGCCATCGACTGGGGCGCTGATCCTCTCAGTCTTGGTGCATTGGGCGGGGATGATAATGACGATGAAGAAGAAGAAGAAGAAGAAGAAGAAGAAGAAGAAGAAGAAGAAGATGATGATCACAGAGACAACGCCAGTGAAGGCGGCGATGCTGATGCCGGACCTATGGACGAGGATGGCGACTTCGACGAAAGCGAACTGGGCTTGGTGGGCGGTAATGCGAATGACATAAAATACGCTGATTTTTTCGATCCTCCTCGTCTCAAAGCTTCCAAGGGACAGCAGCAAAATGATACCCAGTCCAAACCTAAATCACCGACCCCTGAAGAAGACATCGAGGCTAGCATAAAACGTGCGATTTCCGACGTGCAGCGCGACCTTTTCGATGACGATGCGTCCGATGATGAGGATTTGGCGGGCAACTCCACTGTGCAGAAAGGAGCCGCTCAATCCACCCACGAGAAGCGACGAGCTAAGCTGACAGACGAAATCCGCCGACTGGAAGCCGCCAACGTTTCGAAAAAGGAATGGATGCTCTCCGGTGAAGCCAAGGCACCCGATCGACCTATCAATTCGCTGATAGAAGAGGAACTTGAATTTGAGCGCGTTGGCAAACCTGTCCCCGTCATCTCAAACGAAGTTTCCGATAATATCGAAGCGCTGATCAAGCGACGGATTCTAGCGAAGGAGTTCGATGAAGTCCCGCGCCGCCAGCCGTATCTCATCCCGGGCAGCGAGGCTAACCTCAAACGCGTACAGTTTACGCTCGATGAGACGAAGCCACAGCAGAGCTTGGGCGAACTGTACGAGGAAGATCATCTTCGGAAAACAGATTCTGCTTTTGTGGATCGGAAGAGCGCGAAGGTCAAGGCCGATCATGACGAAATTACCCAGTTGTGGAATAACATCAGCTCCCAGCTCGATGCGTTGTCGAGTTGGAACTATAGACCCAAGCGCCCGCAGGTGAGCGTTAATGTAGTCGCGGACGTGGCTACGATTGCCATGGAGGATGTGAGGCCGACGGGTGGCGCTGGCGTAGATGAGGCTGGCATTCTCGCGCCGCAGGAAGTTTATGCGCCTGGCGATGAGGGCAAGGTACGTGGGGAGACGACGTTGAGGAGCGGAGTGGCTGTGTCGAAGGAGGAGATGACGCGGGAAGCTAAGCTGAGACGGCGGAGGCGGGAGAAGCAGAAGTTGAAGAAGAGATCGTCGCAGCAGCGGCCTGCTGGTGATGGGAAGCAGACGGAGAAGCAGAGGGTTGTGGATGACTTGATGAGGAGCGGGGTGAAGGTTATTGGGAAACAGGGGGATTTGAAGGATGTTTACGGGGGCAAGGTGCCTTCCAGTGAAGGCAAGGGGCAGACTGTGCTAAAGTTATAAAATAAGATAACCGTTTGACTCGGAACTGAGAGTTGAGGAGAATATAATATGATTTAACAACTCCATCTACCTAGCTATAATTTAATCATAACGATGACGCCTTAACAACTCCCGTTTTGGCATTTCCATTGTTGGACTCATTTTCTTGACTCTTTATTTTTTTTTTTTTTGTTTTGTTTTGTGCCTTTCTCTCCACGATTCCTAATGGTGTACAGAAATATGTTTTGCTTCGAATAAACCTTCTGATCAGGATCATCTATTACCTCAACAACCTCAAACAATTTCCTCGCCTGCTTCATAAACCTCAGATCCGCACGACGCCGCCTTTTGAAGCAAAAGTAGCATACCGAATGCGGGCTGGCCAGAAGGCCTTCCAGCGTCGATAATAGTAGCGGGAATGCAGGCTCGAAGTAGACACAGTCGGCCGCCAGAATGATGGCTGGGTCTGACGGGACGGTCTTGGGGATCTCGCAGCCCCAGTCGAGAACGGCCGGATAGACGATGTCCGACAGACGGTTCAGCTGGACGTTGTCTTGCATCAGTGACAACATCGGGATCTGGTCGGTGATGTATATCGGCGAGTCGATGGAGCATCCTCGTGCGACTGCTAGTCCGACGAGGCCGCCTCCGGCGCCGAGTTCCACACTGAGAAGCGAAAGGAGAATCCAGTAAGCCAAGTATATCGAAAGAAAGAAAAAGTCCGTAATTTCACAGTAAAGGCAGACAACCAGGGAAAATAAAATAAACACGGGGTAATACAGACATGGTTTTCCCAGACAAGTCCGACTTGTGCCTGCGGAGCATGTATTTTGCCAGGACGACCCCAGCCGGCCAAAGCTTGCCGCCGCATCCCTCCTTCAGATCTTCTTTGATTTGCAAGGGGGGGTCCAGGAGCCCGTCGAGAGAGAGAAGCGCCGTCCCCGCGGTTTTGGTTTCACGGACCGGGACCAGGGATTCGCTGATGGCGAGGGGAAGAGGCGACACCGTGAAGAGGTCGGTTTCACCCATGGCACTGGACTGCAATGCTTATTATTATTTCTGGCCGGGGACAATAGCAAGCGGTTGGTCAAACTTCCAGCAGGGCACTGGCAGGCCAAAGGATCATCTCCCCTTTGCAGGTAAACAGCTTTGGCAGGGGTTCTCTGTAGACTTTTAACTCAGATGACAGCCATGGCTCGCTCATACAGCGCGCAATCTCGCGCAGCTAACAAAAAAGTGCTTTGTTCAGTGGATCGGTTAACTAGGCTTCTCAGGAGCCTGAATTGAATAGTGGACTGGGTGATCGCAAATATAACAAGAGCAGTTGATAGTTGATATATAGTCACTAATAGGTTGATGCCTGTGGTATTTAAGTATCTCAAGGTGCTGAGTCCCGCAGAGTTGAAAAGATTGAAATACAACTTGGTAAATAGAAATAGGCACCGGGTAACTTTAAACAGCCGATGAGTCGGCATCAATAACGATATGAGGTCACTGCAGCTCAGTATCCAAGGTATAACCTCAACCCGTCGAGTTTCAACGTATCCAACTGCTTGTCAACTACAATAACTAACAGCCGTTTAAGTTGGGAAATAAATACACCTCAAGAATCGCACAGTGCAGTTCATACATTTCATCTTTCTCTACCATACGAACAACGGATATATCCCGCGTCGCAGAGAAACCAGTGGACCTACCCTTCTCTCTTCATTCCTTTCTCAATGGCTTCAATCAAAAAACGCTGCTCCCAAAACAATGACGTACAGACTCAGCAACAGAAGAAAGTGAAGCCAGACAGCAGCAGCAAAAACAACAACAACAACAACAATGGAGCTGAGCGGAAAGTTGATTCCAACGGTGATTTCTACTGGAGCCTTGCGCGGTCCCGTCGCCTCACCGTATCGTCCTACAAAGGCCACACCATGGTCAGTGTGAGAGAGTACTATGAGAAAGATGGCCAGGAACTTCCAGGCAAGAAGGTTAGCATTTCCATTGGTTGCTCTGCGCCTGCTTTAACCCCCCACTCCTCTGAATTTGCGGTTGCTAAGATATTCGCCTTAGGGAATCTCGCTGCCGTTGGAGCAATTCAATGCCCTTGTCCAGCTGCTGCCAGATGTCGAAGCTGTCATTAAGGAGAAGGGCGGATCTTTAGAAAGGCCAAAGTACGCGGAAACGGGCGCCGCTGCGGACAGGGAAGGCAACGAGACGGCGGAGAGTGAGCCGGAGAAAGCTGGAGAGGAGTCTTGTCCCGGCTCCGACGATGGCTCCGTAGAGGGTTAGGTTTTTATGTGCATCTTCCTGGCATGCAGGGTGAACTGTAATTCTTTTTTTCTTTCTCTTTTTTATTTCCTTTCTGTATTTTTGGTTAGCATGCCCTGCATATCACAAGGCAGTGGCCCGCATGCACGAATTTAGTTGAAAACTTATATGGTTCAAAGCTTGGACATTTTCATTCTTCGTGGGATCGAGCAATTGGGGACCGGAGAAATTTATTTTAATCCTTTTCAAAAAGTCTATATTTTTATTCAAAGGCCCATGTACAGAATCTACTACTAGCAGCATTCGGCCCACTTGCGAGAAACCATATTGATATCACATACTCGTCTCCTGTGTTCCCGTCCGGCTAGCTAACGACCCTCCCTTCCACGCATGTCGGGGATTCATCACCTTCCTCGCCTTACTCTCTTCACACGACTTCCCCCACCCCCCACCTCCAGGAGTCTTCACAATTATCCGGTCACCAGGGAACATCATGGCCGTATTCTTCGCCCCCAGATTTATCTCCCGCACCTCCCACTCACCAGGCTTTCCCCCCCGCTTCGGTATCCTCCTCACCCAAATATTCTGTCCACACTGCGCATCCTCGCCGCCATTCAGGCCGTATGGATGATACACCCTGCGCTCCGAGAGGATGGACACTTGCACTGGAATTCGAAACTCGATATCCCGAATGACCCCGTCTCCACCGCGGTGCTGGCCGTTCCCACCGGATCCGGGCCTCAGGCTAAAATCCCTCAGCAGCACGGGATATCTTCGTTCGAACACCTCGGAATCCGTGATGCGGGTGTTTGTCATGTGTGTGTGGACGCCTGAGGTGCCCTCCCAATCTGGGCCGGCGCCGCTCCCGCCAGCAACGGTTTCGTAGTAGCCGAATCCTCTGGTTTCTTCTTCTCCTGAGATATTACCGCCGTAGCCGAAGGTTAGGTTATTTGTGTCGCCTTGTGAAGCGGCGCAGGCTTGGAAACATTTCAGAATTACGTCGGTCACTCGCTGGCTCTGTATTCGCTGTTAGAAGCTGAATTTGAAAGGGTGGAAGTTCCAAACTCATCCGGGGGCAGGGGAGGTGAGAGAGGTGGAAGGGGAATCTAAAAGACTGAAATAAAAGAAAAACCTACCGTCAAGACATTCCCACCAACAACAGCCGCTTGACCAGATGGAGAAAGGAAACAATTCTTCGGTATCCGCACATCAATTGGCTTGAGGCAACCTTGGTTCAACGGGATGTCTTCGGAAATCAAACATCTTAAACAGTATATGATTGCGGAGTAAGTAACCGCTTCCGGTGCATTGATATTCCCTGGGGTCTAAGTAAGCATGGATTGTTTAAGGAACTGCCCGTTGAGTTTGAAGGGGGGGGGGGGGGGGGGGGGTGGAAACCGACCATAGACTTCAGGGCCCGTGCCTTCAAAATCAAAGACTGCTTCTCCCTTTTCCGCATCAATCGATATTTTCAAATGGATCGGACTTCCATCATCCATGTGATCGAAAGCCACAAGATCCGCCCCTACAAACTTTTTGCTGACGGATTTCAGGAGATTCCTTACAGTCAGTTCGGCATTGTCTTGGATGTTGTTCATATAGAACTGCACAACAGCCTCCCCATATTCCTTGATCAACATTGATATGAGGTTAATTCCTTTTTGATTTGCGGCGACCTGGGCCTTCAGGTCATTTATATTGTCAGCAAGGCATCTTGTACCGCTGCATCCAGGATATCTCGCCGGCTCATGGTATAGAAGCTCAGTGATCCGTTCGTCGTTGAATATTCCCTCCGAAACTAGCTTTTCAGACTTGATCGCCGCTCCTTCTTGGAATAACTCTTTTGAGCTGGGGGGCATTGAGCCGGGGAGTACACCACCAATATCCGCTGTATAAAGGTTTAAAAATTAGTCATCCCGGAAGTGTGACAGCTTTAGGTCAAGAATGTGACTTGTATAACTAACCGTGATGCGCCCGAGATGCTACATAAAAGATAATTTGATCCCCATTGAAAGCCGGCGTGATCACCGTGATATCCGGTAGATGCGTTCCACCGAATTCAGGATGGTTACTCACAATAACATCTCCGGGCTTAAGGTTTCCAGCCCAAATTTTGGACTGCGTTCTCACGCAGGTGGACATGCTACCGAGATGAACCGGTAGGTGTGGTGCGTTTGCCACAAGCCCACCATCAGAATCAAACAAGGCACACGAATAATCTAATCTCTCCTTGACATTGGTGCTGACGCTCGTTTTCTGAAGTGCCCGGCCCATCTGTTCGGCGATGGCCATGAAGCGGTGGCCGAAGATACTAAGCATGACGGGGTCAACGGAGTTAACGCTCACTTTCGCATCGCGGGATTCCGAAGTTGTTCCGATATTGATAACAACATGGGTTCGAATGATTAAAGCACTTGCGTTCGGAGTGATAACCAGGGTTTGTGTTCCGTCAGCAAGAATTGCCGGTCCATGAATGCGGTCATTGACGTCTAGATCTTCAAGTTTATAAATCGGCGTTTCGACGCGCCCGCCTTCGAAATATACATGAGAGACACCAAACCTCTTTCCATCTCCTACATCCCGCGGTTTGGCTTCTTCCAGTTGCTGATCGACGGTTTTGCCTAAATCGTCAAAACTCCTTCCAATTGCTCGAACCCGGACATCATCTACGATGATATCACGATTGGGTAACGTGAATCCAAACTCCTGTTCATGCTGCTGGACAAACGCTTTACCAAAAGCCCAGTCTTTGCCACCATCGGGCATGTCTGCGGTTGTGTGAAATTTGGGATTGATTATCATCAGCGCAGACTCAGTGCCTCGGTACCTCAAGTTCAGATACTCTTCAAATATGATTGACTTGTCTTTGAAACCCTGTTCATGCAGCCGTTCCCGAGCCCCCTTCTTCAACTCGTTCATTTTCTGTTTTAGCTCGTTTAGAGTACTTTCATCTTGGGACCACACTTTCGATTCTGGAACTTGACTCTCATCCACCACGTCTGCAAGGGACATGCCATACGCAGAAAGCACTGAGGAATAGCGGTGGATCAAAATTTGCCAGATCCCAAGATTTTCAGCAATTGCCACGGCATGCTGGCCGCCCGCGCCTCCAAAAGTTGCTAATCTGTGTTTTGAGGTGTCGTGGCCCTTGGCCTCGGTTAATGAGCGAATTGGTCTTGTCATGGATTCATTCGCAATCTTAATGAATCCGTACGCGACTTCGTCCGGGGTCATCTTTTGGTCCGCAGGCAATTCTTCATTAATCGTTGCTGTCAGCTCCTCAAATAGTTTTGTGCTCGCATTTCTATCCAACGCCTCGTTTTCATTCGGCCCGAATATCTTAGGAAAGAAATCTGGCAAGAGTCTTCCAAGGTGCAGATTGGCATCTGTGACAGTTAACGGGCCACCCTTGCGATAACAGGCGGGGCCGGGGTGTGCGCCAGCGGACTCGGGTCCTACCACGAACAGGCCGTTGCGATAAAACAAGCGCGAACCTCCACCTGCAGCAACAGTATTAATATCGAGCTGCGGGCTCTGTATCGTGACACCGGCCGTTGTGGTTTCAAAAACGTGCTCGTAACGACCGGAACCGTACCGGCTCACGTCGGTACTGGTTCCGCCCATATCAAACCCAATTACGGGGATGTCTGTTCTGGGGTCGTAAGACGTGAGCGCATAGCCGACGACTCCACCGGCAGGCCCTGACAGGATCGCACGCAGGCCGGAAAAGTTGTCGATATCGACAAGTCCCCCGTCAGATTGCATAAATTCACATCGTGCCCCTTTCGTGTCTGATCCCTTTTTCAAAGTGCTTGTGCCAAGTCCACCCTGAAATCCGGACTGGAAGCCTGTGATGTACTTGCGAATGGTAGGTGTTAGGTAGGCGTCAGCGCACGTGGAAGTTGCCCTGGGCACTAACTTGATCATAGGCATTAATTCGTGGCTCAAGCTAATATGAGTGAAACCCGTTTCTCTAGCAAGTCTGCCAACCATTGCCTCGTGGTCTGGGAAGGTGTATCCATGCATGAGGCAGACTGCAATACTCCGGAATCCTTCATCGTAGAGAGCTTGGAGCTGGGCCTTGACGGTGCTCTCGGAAGGCCTCTGTAGAATCCGGACGGCCTCTGAGGACACTCCGCGCACGATTTCAGCATCTGGAGAAGACTGGTCCCGAGGAGGGGTAGGTGTTATATTCCGCGCTGGATCTTCTGTATAGTCCTCCAGCGTAACTCGCTCATCCACCTCAATGACCTTTTCGTGCAGAACATCCGGTTTGCAAATGGCTAAATCAAAAATCTTGGGGCGAGTTTGATTGCCGATCTCCAGACAATCTTTGAATCCCTTAGTCACAACCAGGGCCATCCGTTCGCCCTTTCTTTCTAGCAAAGCATTTGTGGCCACAGTCGTCCCCATTCGAATACTCTCGATCTTGGAGGTATCTAGCGGCTCACCACGGGGGATTTCCCGGCCTTCGAACTTGGAAAGCAGTCGTCGGATGCCTTCCAGCGGAGCATCGCTGTAATTGGAGGGGTCTTCGGACAGCAGCTTGATGACGATGTCATCTTCTAATTTGCCCGTGCCGGGGTTTCCCACGCAGTCCGTGAATGTGCCGCCACGCTGTGAGGGGGCAATTATTAGCAACTTAAGCGGATCTCAGGACTGACTAGAAAGGAGCATAGATACATCAATTGAGATCCGTATTCCGGGACCTTGGGCTGGTATAGCCATCGTGGAGAGGGTAATGATACCGTTGAAAAATGGGATAGGCGAGAGGGATTAGAGAATAATCCCAGAATGCGCCGGGAGGCCGATACTTCTTATATTTGTAATATTCACAGCAAAGCAGATGGGAGAATCGGGAATTTTCACTCCGTACGGGGCGCGGGGGGGGGGAATTCGTCGTGCAGTCCCGCCTGAAAGCGCAATCCAAGTCAGACGGAGAAGTGGGGGCGGGGGAGTTGCTGACAAGACGGTTGACTTTGAACCCGGTCAGTTTTGTATTTAACCAGATATTATAGTTAATTAGTTAATTAACTACAGCACTTGGTTGACAAGATCCGACCGTTGGGGGCTTCTGACGTCATCCAGATCCTTCTGCCGGCGATATCACATGACGTCACGTGGTGCTCAGTACGCGCGACCCAAAAGTAAACAAGGAACTTTGAGAGCTCGGGCTGACCAACAGGCAAAGAAAACAACAACCACCTACGCCGACTTCACAAACACGCGACACAGCATTGTGTCTCCTGTTCCACTCAAAGCTGCCTGCTTGTCGTTCGCGGGATATCCGTGTCGCAAACGCGCCGAAATTCTCGGAAACTAACCATCCTAATTTTATCACTCTTTTCAATAGCGTGCACGTTACCGGTGCAGAGGACGTCAGGAGCCGCGAATCACGGAACCAGGCGTTGAATTGCTTGAAAGGGTTTGTGACGTTTATTTGGGAGCATTTACGCGTCTTGAGAAAGAACGAGGAAGCTCACACCCATGCCTCGACCGCCTGCTAGACGCGGGCGTCGCCCAAAGGCTGCGAAGTGTCCCGGAGCAGCTGCTCCACGCGGTAGTGCACAGCTCGCAGAGAGTGATAATGTATTGGTGGTTATTCCAAAGCCGAACAAGGCCCAGGTCCAGGCGCTCGAAGGTCAAGACAACGGATGTACAGAGAGGAGTTGCGATGGGGCCCGCAAGGAGAATTGGTGTGAATTAACATCCGCCCAGAGGCAAGAAACTGTAGTCCACGAGGTCAATGAAGAAGAAAGTGGTTTGAGAGGGGGTTTGGGACTGGGACACCAAACACCAATGGCGAAACAGTTGAACGACACGAAAGGAGTCCCTACCGCAAATGGCCTGGAGTCTTCCGTTTGCGCGAGAGCTCTCCTTTCCAATCCCCGTAACAGAGGCGACGCCAGTTCGAGAGTGCAAAAGATGGGAACACCTGCGTTCGAAAGCTCGATGTTGAGCAATTTCAGACGCCGCCCACGACAGCCCAGTATCCTACAGATGATGCAAGGGGATCCATCTTCCGAGCTTGATGACGACGATTGCTTTCTGGGTAGTTTTGACCCAGTTGATGAATCTACTCCCCTAAAATCCCCAAGCCGCAAGAACATCCGTCAAGACCGCTTATCTACCTCATCTTCGACGCCACGGGATTTGACTGCCCGATCCTTAAATAAAAAGAGAAAGGCAGACGCAGATATTCAGGTGCAGGTTTCTCGGTCTCCCGAGCCATCTGAACTTGTTGTTATTAGAACTCAGGAAAGCGCCGAGGACAGTGCCTCTGAAGATGACATGCTCCCTACTCCAAGAGGAGCCCAGCCACCAGATCCGCCCGAAATACTAAGCCAGACGATGGTGCCCCCTGAGAGTAGCCCAGCCCTGCCAACCGATAGACAACCATTACATGGTGAATATCTAGAAAATGCTAGCCCATCGCCTGTTCCAAAACCTGACGTCCGAGTTTCTACTGCAGCACTGAGAGAAAAATTTCTTCCGCACCGGCGACTCCGCCATACACACAGAGAAGCAAATGATAATGATGGGTCCAATTCAGATGACGGTGAAAACGACAACTATTTTAGCGATTATTCTGGTGCACTTGAAGCTGATCAAGACGAGTTGAGTTATTCTACGTCAAGAGCGTCTAGAAAGCGGAAGAATGTGAGGGGAGCGAAAAAAGGGACAAGAAACAACAAATTTGGGGGGCCTGATGTTCGGGTTAGCCAGCAAGGTCCAAGGAAGCGGAAACCACCGGCCAAGTCGGCGAACAATCCAACTTCCAGGAAGTCCCAGCCACCACACTCGAAAGGAGGGCATGGTATTACTTATTCCTTGTCCCGGCATGTAGCACTTGAACAAGACAAAGAAAACCAATTAGCCAATACGACATCCTCTCCTCCAGCCGCATCCGAGCGGGCCTTAGCAGCCACCGCCAATGCTTTACCACCATTGAGTGAAGAACTCCGCCTACAGGCACGAAAATTCGCGGAAATTAGCAAGTGGCGCCTAGATTTTGAGGATGCCACTCCGATTTCCAGCGGAAGCAGTCTGTACCGATGATGCGGTCGTTGTCTCTGTTCTGAAATTTTTTGTAATATATTATATATATATATTAGGAATTCATTACAACCACAGCGTCAGCCTTTGGTTAATAGATATCTCTCGCCCCAAACGGACACCTAGGTACGGTGTATATCTTCTTGAAATTGAAAATTCCGTGAGGGGGGGTTTCTTCGGTGTTTGTTGCATCTCTACCCTGTACTCAAACATTATACTGCGGACTTTGGGGCGGATATGACCGGTTGGCGAACTCGCTTACTCAGCACAGTCGCAGCCATCCGCAAGTTCAGCCCCCGCTGCAACCAACAACAAACCCCGCGCATCAGCGGTAGTTAGGAATCATCAATAAGGAGCACTTCCGTCACATTGGTATTTGAGGTGGGCATTATTTTCACAAAAAGGTAGACAGTGGTGCGGTTGGCATTGAACTAGAAATAATCCAAAGGAAAAAGCATGGCTGTCTCTGTCGATCAGACCCTTGCGGGCAAATATCCCGCGAAACTCCATGCAAAGCGGGTTGCGGCCCGCATACAGGAGCTCGGGCATGGCGATTCTGGAATTATTTATCTTGAAGGCCAGAAGACGCACATGATTGAGGATAGTGATGGGGAAATGCCATTCCGGTAAGCCCCGATTTTGCTGCTTCGTGTTGAGATTGTCTGGTAGTTATCTGTATTCTGTGCTGGTCACTGTCGGCTAAGAGGCTTCTGTACTAAGCGTTTTATCAATCCAGCCAACGCCGCAACTTCTTCTACCTATCCGGCTGCCCCCTCCCCGATTCCTACCTCACATACGACATCAAAGCGGACAAGCTGACCATTTTCATCCCCCCCATTGACCCCGCTTCAGTCATCTGGTCTGGATTGCCCCTTTCCGTCGAGGAGGCTTTGGAGATATATGATGTTGACGCCGTCCTGTCAACAGCTGAAGTCAATGCCAGCTTGGCGCATTACTGCTCAGCACAGGGTGGCAAGAAAGTCTTCGCAATCGCCGACCAAGTTTCCCCACATATAACTTTCCTTCCATTTCAAGAGATCGATTTTGATGTCTTGAAGCGAGCCGCTGAGGAATCGCGCGTTGTCAAAGATTCGTATGAGATTGCTCTGCTCCGGCGGGCGAATGAGATATCTTCCAAGGCACATGTGGCGGTGTTCAAGGCGGCGATGTCCGCTAGGAACGAGCGAGAGTTGGAGGCTATTTTTGTCGGCGCGTGCATGTCCAGTGGGTGTCGGGAGCAGTCGTATCATCCCATCTTTGCCAGTGGGACGAATGCGGCAACATTACACTACCAGAAGAATGACGAGGATCTTGTCGACAGCGTCACCGGGCAAAGGAGGCTGAACATGCTTATTGATGCTGGGGCTGAATACCGAAATTACTGCGCGGATATTACGCGGGTGGTGCCGCTTTCGGGAAAATTTTCGCCCGAGTCCAGACAGATATACGATATTGTGCTGGAGATGCAGAACAGCTCGTTGGCGATGATTAAAGCGGGAGTGATGTGGGAAGACGTCCATTCAACTTCTCACCGCGTGGCTATCCGCGGACTGCTCAAGCTCGGCATCCTGCGTGGCACGGAGGAGGAGCTGTTTGAGAAGGGGATTAGCGTTGCGTTTTTCCCGCACGGTCTAGGTCACTATCTTGGCATGGACACACATGATACGGGAGGTAATCCGAACTACGCAGATAAGGATCCGAAGTTCAAATACTTGCGTCTGCGGGGTCCTTTGGCGTCCGGCGGGGTTGTAACTGTTGAGCCAGGGGTAAGTCGCTCCTTTTCATGAAAACTTATCAGAGCCTTGGGATGTTCATTTCATTTCGTCTTGAGCTACTGTTTTCCAGATGAAAACTAATACAAGTTTTATTTTTTTTAATAGATATATTTTTGTCGCTTTATTATCGATCCTTATCTCAGTTCTCCGGATTTGGGCAAGTACATCAATGCCGATGTTCTTGGACGGTATTGGAGTGTGGGTGGTGTGCGCATTGAAGACAATGTAGTCGTCACAGATAATGGTTACGACAATCTGACGACTGCTCCAAAACTTCCCGAGGAGATAGAGAAACTTGCTACGGAAAAATAATAGGTGTCAATGTAATTACTGACAATCTGACATGAGGGAACGAATCTGTTTCAGGCAATTATTTCGAAAGCACAATCTAAAAATATTGTACTCTATGGAAAACCCTATTGGAGGTATTCTCGCTAGGATAACTAGCAATCAATATCAATAACCGCTTCTATATCTACGGTGTATATATTCCTAATCGATCTATTGTATCACAGCCTTCAAGGCCTGAAGCATCAGAGCAAAAATAAACCCCCGAGCCACACGGCTAACCTGCAGCGAATCAAAAACATGCCCCAACGCCTCTACCGTCGCCGATTGCCCCATAATACTCGTAAGAGCATCCGGCATGCCCCTTGTCACCAGCAACCTCCGCGCCTTGACGCGTAGCTCATTCTTCTCGTCCTCAGTCAGAGCAGGAGGCCACTCTTTCAGTTCATCTTCGGTCGGAAGCGCATTTTGGCGCAGGACGGTGATACGAGCTGCCACAGCATCGTCGGAGGCGTTAGATTCGATGATCGATTTCTGGACGAGGAGGCGAATGGCCTCGATGTGTGGATTGCCGGGCCGAAGTAGGAATGACTTTGCTGCATTCAATAGTTTTTTGCGGATGGCCCAGACGGAGGATAGGGCGTATAGCTCGTTTATGACAGCGAATAAGAGCTCGACTGCGACGGTGATCTCTTCCTCGGAAAGAGATGTAGTGCGCGGTTCCCCTGAGGAAGGTTTAGGGGTGGATTTGCGGGGCTCCGTGTTTGGTTCAGACTTAGCAGGTGCTAGGGCTGCAACACTGTCTATTTGATCGGCAGGATTAGATGATATGGTAGTGGGTGCTTGGTCGCGTTTCTCGCCGCCTACAGGAGAAATTTCTTGATTCTCATCAATATGTTCACTAGATGGAGAAGGAGATAGTTGAGCCACGTGGTCCCTCTTAAGAGTCGCGTTCCCGTCCTGACTATGCGTAACATAGACTGGAGATTTCTCAGCAGATCCATTTTCGCTTGATCCAACATCAAGAGCAATATCATGTTGAGTACTCGAACGCGAAACAGACTGAACTTGCCCCAATTTCGTAGCCTCGAGCTCGATCGACCGTTTCCGATGGGCAATATTGGCTCCAAACACTCCCGTAACACCTTCGAGCACAGCCTTGCCACCCCCAGCCATCCCTTTCGGAGCATTGCTCAGGACCCCCAGCACGCCTTTACCCATATTTTCAAACACTGCCTGGCTGGGGAAAGAGAATCCAACTTTCCCAGCCCCATTTAGCGATGACGCCCCCAGGCCCCCCCGTTCCTTTTCGAGAAACCGCTTCATAGCCTCGCAGCTAGCGAGCCGCTCAAAGCTTAGAGCGTGTTGAAGATAACGTTCAAGGCTTTGCCGTAGGTCTAGTTTATACTGACCTTTCCACGGCGGTAGCTCTTTGTGCTGTTCTACGAAGTCAGATACACCGGACACAACGGATATGCGGCGCAGAACTTCATGGAGGGCTTCAAAATCGGAATACTTTCTGGCGATGACCCAGCCCGGGATCCTGGAGCCGAAGGGTTCAATTTGCAACAAATAGTCGTCCGTAGGTTTCACGCGCATTTTCCCTTTGTCGTTTGGGAGAGTGTCATCGACGATTGATACAGAAGCACCGAGGAGAATCGTTTGAATTAAGTCTGGGAGATCAAGTTAGTTTGGAAGCGGAGGAAGTTGTTTTCGACAGCGACATTCAGTTTTGGACTATACCTTCTTGTTTCGAGGGCGACTCATGCACTGAGTTTCGAACGTCTCTGAGTTCCTTAGAATCCCTTGACATCTCGGATCTTGCCGAGTCATTACTACTTCGGCGGTCATCAGTTGGGATAGGAGGCACTTGTGGATCGAAAATTTTAGAGGATATGGTATGTGTATCGGGATCGGGATCGGGATCGCTGCCAGTTTCGTTCATCGCTGGCTGTCCGCCACTCTTGTAAGCATTGCTGACGGCAATGAGAGCACTAAGGCGCTTTGCTTCCTTTTCGGCCTCTTCCATTTCTAATTGCGCCTTAGTCAAGCCCTTGTTTTCATTCCCTCTTTTTAAGTTTTCAACGACAATATCCTGTTCTGTAGAATCTTCAGACATACTACTGTTATTAACATCACTCAAAGAGCGGGCAGCAAAAGCCTGCATTTCTTCTTGTCGTGCCCTATCAACGCCGATATCGATTGCATTCATCAATTCCGGTTCCCCTTCTTCCAGAAGCCGCACAATCCACCCATTGATCCATTCCGGTTTTGAGCAATTCACAATTACGCTTTCCAATATGATATCCGAGAACACCTCACGAAAGAAAATCTGGACTGGTTCACAGTTGTATAAATCGGGCTCAAGAAAAGATTTTATAATGTCGGTTGCAACGAGTCGGAGCTTCGCACGTTGTTGGTCGGTTGATAAAACATTCGCTAGATTACTGTCGGGGTATTCTTTAAGGTACGAAGAGATGACATCCTCCCATGTAGAATTGCTCGAGGCGGATTCGAAGGCAGCGGAAAATTCGTTTAAAAATACGACGGCGATGGATGCGGCGTTGGTGACGAAATGGAGGAAGATATCAGCCGGCCTTTTGCGTGAGAGGTGAGAGGATATAGAGATGATAAATCGGGTCAGGCTCGAACGGCAGGACAGTGGAAATGCCCTTTCCGAAATCAGAAGTGGCCCATACCACCACCTACGGGCAAATCTAAGTTAGTTGGAGTTCTGTAAAAGTCTCGCGAAGGGGAGGTGGTTGTATGCTGCATTGCTTACTGGACATAGTCTCGAATGATAGCGTCAGTCAGTGAATTCAGAGCCGCTGCTGTTGCGGGCTGGAAACCCGCAAAGTCTGGCTCTTTGTTATTAATCGATTTGTCTATGGGACTGCTGGATTCACTGAGAGTATCTGTAATTCTAGTTTCGCGCCAACGCAGGACTCTAGAAATCACCTCAATACCAAGCTCTCGTCGCCTTAGGGAGAGGCTTGATTTCACAGCTTCATCTCCGGTCTCTTTGTAACCGTCCCATGAGGCATGAAGCGTGACACCCACGGATACCCCAAATAACACTAGAGCAAGTCTCCCCGGGAGCAAATATATAATGGCAAGGAGAGCTCCGCCCAAAGCAGCCAGAGTGACATGGTTAGCGGATGCGAGAAATCGTAGGCATTGGTTTAGGAGGGAGCTCTGGATAAACGCAGATTGGGATTGGGATTGGGAAGATCTTGCCGCGCCAGCTGCGCTCTCTGCAAAATCCTCCCGTCTTGGTGGCCAAGATTCAGATCCATCACTGGTTGGGATCAAGCCCTCGGTCGTCGTCACCTTGGGTTCGGACTCGTCCATGGTCCCCCAGGCTTACATTGGGACAGAGGTACTGCTCATCCACATAGTAAGGCGGAGAAGGAGAAGACGAAGATGATGCTAAAACGTAGAGGGGAGTTTACCAGAAGGTCACTCTAAGAGATTATATTTTTGCACTCGGACCCTGTGGATGCATATACCCTGCAAGAAAGAATTCAAGAACCAACAACGAAGAACTCATCTTGGGAGGTTTGAGCGGGAGTGCGCAGGGGGCGCCTGCGGTGTGCCCTACCCGCCTGCAGAGGGGACGACAATACCGTACCGCACCGTTCCGCACCGTACTGTACTGTACAGTACAGTACCGTGCTGTCCCTCGCTTGACGTTTCCTGGTATGAGGTTTGACGTTAGAGCAGCAACTCGTTGTTCACGCGCGGCGTCCCACTAAATTTTTCTCGGCTCTCGCTCACGAGCGTTCCCCATTAGTTAACTATACAATCCCCATCTGCGAGCTCATGCAACTACCGAAGGTGTATTGCTGGAGATATCCCTCATCAATCAATCCGATGGTCCATCTACCACGTCTCATATCTCATTCATGGTGTCCTCGTTCCGCACTCCACTCCGACTAGCCACACGCTGCTGCCAGGCAAAGCTTCCAAGATGCCATCGCCCTTCGTCCTCCTGCCATCGCCCAGCACGGGCTGATAGGGCTGATAGGGTTGATGCTATGACCCTATCTAAACCCCCCGCTGGGTCTTCATCAACAAAAGCGCCTGTGCCTCTCCACACGGCGCTTTTCTTTCCTGGTTTGCATTCACGCCCGCCTTCTCTTATCACTGCTGAGTCTCTATAGGCCATGGCGTCCAGCGTGTCGGGATGACAAACACCTGGCTTGAGGCGTTCCCATCCACCGTCAAACCATTCCTGGAAGAGATGGATAGCATCCTAGACTTCCGTCTCTCAACCATAATATCGCACGGGCCGAACTCCAAACTAAACCGGACGGAGAATTCCCAACCTGCCATAATGGCCATGTCGATAATGATCCTTCGTGTACTGAATGAGCATTTTGGGTTTGATACCGCATCGCGCATCGATGTGACCCTGGGCCACAGCCTGGGCGAGTACGCTGCTCTGGTGGCGGGGGGTTATCTCGACTACGAACCGGCGCTCAAAATGGTCCGGCGCAGGGCAGATATAATGGCCCAGTGCACCGCCAACGCAAGGTCACTTACCGGGGAAACATATGGGATGGTCGCGCTGGTCTGCGAGCCGGATCGCTTGTCCGACTTGATTACGACGATTCGGGAATTCGTGGATCATGGCTCGCAGGGCTCGAATGACGATTCACGATACGGGATACCGCCGATCCAGCAAGTTTCGATAGCGAATATCAACTCTAAAAACCAAATCGTGCTCAGCGGGAGCATTGAGCGGATCAAATATCTGCTGGTACAGCTTCGGCAGTTTTCGGGACATGATCCCAGGGCTGTGCGACTGCGGAGTGACAGCCCCTTTCATAGCCCGGTCATGAAACCCGCGGCAGAATATATGCGGCAGGCCCTTGAACAGGTGGATGTCCATTTTTCACCTTCTCTCATACCCTGCATCTCAAACGTGTCTGGTGTACCCTTCCAATCGAAGGAAAACCTGAAGCACCTGCTATCGCGACAGTGTGTGGAGACTGTGAGGTGGTGGGATAGCATCAGATACCTTGATCAAGAACGGGGGGTGAAACGATGGATTGGCATTGGACCTGGCAAAGTTGGCAGAAACCTCGTGGGAAAAGAGGTGGGCAAGGTTCCCGCGCGGGGTGGAGGAGTGTGGGCCATTTGTGACCCTAGAGAAATCGAAGAGATACTGAGTGAACTACACAAAACTAGGGAGGGTGAGTATGCTTCATAGAAAAATTAATCATATTTGAACTACTTAATTTAAAATACGTAAAATACCTCTTTTCTCTTCTTCTTCTTCTTCTTTCCTAACTTAATAGGTATCACACCGTGAACCTCGGACTACTCACATATATATTCGTATTGTATATAGGCAGACCCACAAACCCCCCAGTTTTTAAGTACAGATGATCCCCAGGTCTTACTTCGGCCCTCCGGAAAGTAAAGGGAGCAGCACTCTTACAGTATGAAGCGTCCGATCGGAGGATGGCCGGTTGAGTGAACTGGCTGTGATCGTGACGGATGGAATTTGCTTGTACGGAGACAATCGTTGGGAGACGGAGTAGAAAATTCTCACTGTAAATACGGAGATAGTCCTCAGAGCAATCAGTGATTTCTTTTCATGTTGTCCAGTTTATATTTATTTTCTTTCCCCTTTCGCATATGATCATGAGCTGGGTTCGTTCCCCCAGACCCCACATGCACATCATCACACAGATTCAAAAACCACCCGATATCCCCACAAAAAAAAAATGTGCCCATGACCACCAACACGAACCGCACCACACAGCAACGAACCGACTATTTACACCTCCAACCCCCATCCTAAACCCCCCCCCCCCCTCCCCAATCCAAAATCCGAAATATCAAAAATAAAAACCCACAAAACCATGGCAATCCTCTCCTACGTCCTGACCGGCATAACCTCCTACATAGCCGTTACCGTCTCCCTCTTCGGCCTCTCGCTCAAAGTCCCGCGCGCCGGCTTCTTCGCCCGCTGCCTAGCATCCTACGCTTGCCTCATCGCCTGCGCCTCCTATGGCGTCGTCGCATCCTTCCTCCTCCGCCTAACCGGCTACGGCGGCCTGTCGCAATGGACCGTCGCCCGCGCCTTCAAGTGGACTATGCGACTGTGCACCGGCTCGCACTTCGAGATCGTCTCCGGCGCGGAGTACCTCAAAACCCGGCCGGCGGTGTTCATCTCCAATCACCAGACGGAGCTGGATGTGTTGTTGCTCGGGGCCAGTTTCCCTCAGTATTGCAGTGTCACGGCCAAGAAGTCGCTGTCGCACGTGCCCGTTTTGGGATGGTTTATGACGCTGTCTGGCACGGTGTTTATCGATCGCGCGAACAGGGAGACGGCATTGAAGGCGTTTGATGGTGCGGCAGAGCATATGCGCAGCGAGAGGCAGAGTGTTTTTATCTTCCCGGAGGGGACGAGGAGTTATTCGGATCAGCCGATTCTGTTGCCGTTTAAGAAAGGGGCGTTTCATTTGGCGGTTAAGGCTGGGGTGGATATTGTGCCAATTGTGGCGGAGAATTATGCGCATGTGTTGGATGTGAAGAAAATGCGGTTTGAGGCTGGGGAGATCCGTGTTAAAGGTGTGTATTTCTCTCTTTTTCTTCCTCCTCCTCCTCCTTTTCACATTCCCCTTTTTCTTGTCTTTGAAATCTCATCATGGATATGTTTTTGCGTTTTCTCTTTTCCTTCAATTTGAGCATATTTAGCTGATGTTGCTCTTGTCTCCTCGGGCTGGAATTTAAGTCCTCCCACCAATCAGCACGAAAAATCTACAATCAAGCGATGTAGACGAACTAACGAAGAAAACCCGCGATTCAATGCTTGAGGTTATCCAAGAGATGTACAAGACTAGACAAGCGCGGCTTGTAGACAGTTCATCGTCGTCTTCTGCCACCTCTATCCAGATGCCGGCCCATGCTTCCTCGACTGCCATTGAGACTTAGAATGATATCCAAATGAGAGAAGTCGCCAACCTAGATTTATTCCTTTCTATGCGAATCCATTATATTTCACACCCTCACCATGTGGACCTTCTTTCAGCGGGAACGGAGTTATGGAGAGGAAGGAAAAAGGAGGAGGCAATTCGGACGAATAAACCCGCTTGCATTGCCATGACATAACAGTTATGATTGTATAATACCATCGTTTCTTATTGATACCAGCACCTCCAGACGAATAGATGGCGTTTTGCTTTGTTTTCCTTTTCCTCCCTTTCCTCCTTCTTTCCTTAATTACGAAATGGAGAAAAACGTTGTATATGCAACGTGGATCCCCGGGGTTGAGAGTGGAAATCAATTGCTCACTACAGCTTCTATCTCTACCACCCGGCGCAAGAGGAGACGAAAAGATTAACCTGGTGTTGGCCTTGTCGCTGAAACGGAGCAGCTAAAAGAGGCGGTTCATCTTCATATCTCCTCCTTTTTCATTTCCCTCTTTCCCTTCTTCTTCCTTCTCACGCACTCGGTCATGCGTCTTATCTCAATGCTTGCGCCCCTTACATCCTTTTATCCTTCTTCACACGATATCAAAAATACCCCCTAGTACTATCCTCCCACTAACATGTGCCTTCGAAATCCTTCTACTTTTTGGTTGTTCATTTAACTCATGGAACGGGAGATACCCCAATTTCCCCATATTTTCAATTTCTGGTTTCCTCTTCTCCTTTAATCATTTGTTGTTTCTCTTCCCAACATCACACATTCCCCTTCCTTGTTGCTAATATACGTTATGCATTTCCAGTGCGTTCTGGGGTTGCCCTCATTTTTACTCTTCTTGCCTTTTTATTTCCCTTCCCATCCTGTTTGAGCGGTTGATTTTCAGTCCCAGGCTGTTCTACCATCTGCATGTATGTACATTCATTGATACCATGATAGACGGATAGATAGACAATATGGGTTTATTAACGATTAATTATTTAAATATAGGGATGGCATTGTTAATCATATGCTTATTATTAATGCTTTCAATGCTTTCAATAGGCCAGATCTGACCACAATTAAGTTGGGAGTTTTTGAAAATAGGAATCAAATAGGTAAATAACAAATATATATATCTGTTGCGCCAAAAGAGAGTGGTTATATCTCGTGATACACTACCCATCAAGACAAATAAGGTGCAGGAGTCGTCATATGTAAGAAGGCCATCGAACCATCAACCCCGAACACCCCCCCCCCCTTCGTTCGTCTATAAACCAAAATTGACATCACAACCCGTTATCCTCAAACAGCAGCCAACCCCCTCAATATAAACACCCACACTCCCCCCTTGCACACGGCCCAACATCCCTCTCAACATCCACACGAACAAACTCCCCCCACCTCGCCCTCACCTTCCCCATCCCTCCCCCTTCCTCCTCTCCACTCACACAATTCCCAAATCCACCCCCCCTCCCCGCCGTCGCAACAATATACTCCTCCTCACAGGCAACTACCTCCAAACGCACCTCAGGCACCTCCCGACCATAGATGACGGCCCTGACACCGGTCTCAGGTACGCCCCAGGCCAACGAGGCGGTTGAGGGTGAAGTCGTTGGCGGAGATTTGGCCGGGGGAGTCGGAACGACTACGTTCCTGAATTCCAAATCGCGCAGCCAAGGGGCCAGGAGGGCTTCGCCGGTCATTTTTATATAGGCTTCCTTTAGGGCCCAGTAGGTGTAGAAGAGGCGGAGACTGCTAGTGATGTAATCTTGTAGGCTCATGTTGCTCCCGCTACTGTTGTCACTGCTGCTGCTACTTCTAGGATCCGCCTTCATGGCATCCAATTCGTTCTGCGAAAAGACCTCGGAGAAAATATCGATGAAGGCGTGCAGTTCGGCTTTTGTCTTTGGGGGCCCGCGGTTACGGCGGGATGGGTCATTCATGCAGGTTATGTCGATGCCGATTTGGGGGAGGTTGTTGGTTGTGTCAGTTGTGTTGTTTACGCTTTTTAAGAGGGGTTGAGCTATCGTATTTTCATCACTGGGTGGGGTGGGTATGACGCATCCTGCCAAAGCAATGAGGGAGGCTTGGTGGCTGACGTTGAATTCGATGTTGGTTGGGGTCCCGGTTGGGGTGTTTTTATATTTACTATCACTTCCTGATGACCACTGTTGTTGCTGCTGCTCCAGGGGTACATAGCATGGTCTTTTATGCGGGGCTGGGGTGCGGCTGATAATGATTTGATTCCAGGGGACATGACATGTGCGGTGGATGAAGAGATATTTTAGTAGATAGGAGGCGAGGGACATATGGCGGTCTGAGAGGTGGTGGAAGGCCTTTATGGTTGTTTGGTCTGATTCTTGGAGGGTGGTCAGGAGGGGGAGGGATTGGGTAGAAGCCGTTAGGGGTCGGGTATCAATGTACCATCTTGTTAGAGTCGGGGGAGGTGAAGGAGATGGGGATAAATATGGTAATAAAGTCATGGCGGTTACAATATATATATAGGGTATTTTATATAGGACGGAAGATATGCAAGCGCAAGATAAAGTGAACTGCTGCCATTGCGAAGATCAGAACAAAATCAGACCTGCATGCATTTTTTGCAGATCAACCGCCAGGAACTGTCAACCGGATTTCAAACATGGGTATATTTAGATGCAACCTCTTCCTAAAGAGTGAATCTCTAGATAGATAGCTTTATGCTATGACAACGCCTTTGTTGTCTGACGTTGAAATGCGGTGGAAAGCGACCTGCGCCGTATCTAGTTAATCCGATCTGCCGGGAGATCTTATCTGATCCGAAGGCGGTGGCAGAAACGCCCAGCTCAGTCATCTCCCCAAATAAAACCTCCCCGGCTCCATGGGATGTTTGACTCACCGCATACAATAATGCAATGACACTTACCGTGGGAGTTCTAGCCCTCCAAGGCGCATTCTACGAGCATCTAAAACTCCTACACAAAGCCGCAACAACCCTATCGCCCAACGACCCCCAAAAATGGAAATTTATTGAAGTTCGTACACCAGCACAGCTGGACAGTTGCGACGGCTTAATTATCCCTGGTGGCGAGAGCACGACTATCTCACTGGTTGCTGCTAGGTCTCAATTACTCGAACCGCTGAGAGACTTTGTCAAGTGAGTTTCGGTTCATTTCGTTCTTACGGAAAATTGTTTTGTGGTATTATCTGCAATTGTTCAAAACTAACAGAAGATGTTTTTTTTTCTTTTTTTCTTTTTTTTTTTTCCATTGCAATTAGGCTCCACCGTCGACCGACATGGGGCACATGCGCGGGGCTAATTTTACTTGCGGAGTCGGCAAATCGGACAAAGAAGGGTGGCCAGGAGCTCATTGGTGGTCTTGACGTGCGCGTAAACAGGAACCATTTCGGTAGACAGACGGAGAGTTTTCAGGCACCGGTGAATTTGCCGTTTTTGTCCGAAGTATGCCAGGAGGCCCGTAACGAATCCTCCCCAGCCAGCTTCATGGGTGTATTTATCCGCGCACCTGTGGTAGAGAAACTTCTTTCGTTTGAAGACGGTGTCCAGGTTGAAGAGCAGAGGAGGGAGGGGACGGTAGTTGCACCATCGCGGCAGACGGAGGATCCAGTTGCACTGAAAGTGAAGAGCAATCACGTCGACGTGCTGGCGAAACTACCGGGTAGGGTGACCAGGCTTGCTGGGACGGGGGTGGATATCGAGGCTGAGGCGGATGCTGGGGATATTGTTGCTGTGAAGCAGGGTAATGTTTTTGGTACCAGTTTCCATCCAGAGTTGACAGATGATCCTCGGATCCATATCTGGTGGCTGCGACAGGTTGAGAATGCGGTGCTGAAATCCCAGGACCCCGAAAAATGATGGCGAGAATGGTGATAGTACCTCGCAGCAAATGAACCGGTTTCCTTGTATATTCGCCATTTGAATAGTTGATAGGAAAATTTCCTTCCAATTGCGTAATGTAGAATAACAATCTCATTTTAAAATAACACCTAACCTGCGCCTTCCTTACGAAGTTACTTAGAAGCAATATCTTACCTACCTTTCCCGTACTCCTCTTCTTCCTTTCTCCGCTCGTCAGCAATGGCGCGGCCATAACCCCCGCGTCCTGGATCGTATTCATCTCTGTACTCATCCCGAACCTGGCCACCAGATTTACCCCGTCTGTGAAACATTAGTTAGTCAACCAGAATATTTTAGGTAAATAAAAAACCTCTTTCTTTGAACTTTTCCTAAGCGCATTGAAACTTACCCATACTGCCGCCCTTCCTGGAACCCAGGGTCCAGGTCTGTCCGAATTATCCGCTCATCCAGTTTAGTACCCCCAATATATTTCATGCAGTCCAGCGCATCTTGGTGAGTATAGTATTCTACAAAGCAGAAGCCGCAGGGTGTTTTCGCAAATCGATCAAGGCCCATGACTAGCCGTTTGATCTCTCCGCATCTGGCATTATTTTCATCGTTAATAATGCCCAAGGTAAAGAGTTCGCGGGGCACATTGCCGATTGTGAATAGGAATCTATCCCACATACTTGGCGAAAAGCTCGTGTATCTGTTCCTCCGTCGTGTAGAATGAGCTGTTGAATATGTGTTAAGAGACTGTTTGAGAAGAACCCATATTGCCATCTAGAATCGAAGGGTAAATAAAGCATACAGATTCCCGACATAGAGCGTAGTAGCATCCTTCAAGGGGTCAACGGGGTCCTCTTGGGTTCCATCCCGATCACCAAACTTTCTCCGTTTATTCTGCCAAAACCAAGAGCTTCGATTAGAAAAATACTCCATGAAAGGCGTACACACAGGAGCGGAGAACAAAGGATGGAAAAGCATACCTTCGATAAATAGTAAGCGCTGGGCTTATCCAGTCTCTCAATAGTGGGTCGCATTTTGTCTGAATACGGTGGGTATGTATATAACTGCCGTTTAAAGCGTATACGAGATTGTGATGCTTTTTGATCAGAGGTGCGCCGGTTTGAGTTTGGGTTGAGATGAGTCGAGTTGAAGATCTTTGAAAGGACTGAGCTCATGTCTTGGCGCTCCAACTATTTATACAGAAAATAAACCTTGCAGACAAAACTGTGACTTTCGAGGCGCTACCCAGGTACGGACAAGTATAACTTCATAAATAACAACAACTACAGTAGCTGGGGAACGAACCTATTATTCTTCTTCCCGTGCTCAATCCTATAACTACATAATTACGAGGCGCTATTCGTCGTACCAAGTTGCTCTGTATATATACGAACCTCCTCGGGCAATATCTAGCCCGCAACAAATCCCCGCCCCCAGCGATGCCGAAAATCATCGACTACTCTCCTCCCTGGCTTTCCAGACCCTCTCCCGGATCCAGCTTTTTTTTAAGCTCAGGATCAGAGCCTTCCTTACACTCAAGCCCCATTGCCAAAAGCAAGGCTGCCAACGACACGCGCCATCAGCCTTACGTAGGACCCAAGAGGACTCAGGCGCGAAGAGGGACTGAGATCTTCGCGGTCGTGGATAACCAGATTCGGTGGTCAGATCTCTCTACGTTGAAGAACGAATGGCAGGCTGAAGTGCGGCAGAAAAGAAATGAGACGTCCCGGGGCCAGGAGAGCGAGAGGAGCTCACCCTTAGCGGAGGACGCGAACTTCCCAGGGCAAACTGCGGACAAGCAGCGGACGTCATTTTATAGAGTGAGAAGATCAACGGATAAGCTATACCTACGTATTTTAGGGATTTTTTACTAATCTTTGTTACAGGTTCTTGCTATACCAGTGTATGGGCAGATAACGCAACTAATCACCTCTCCAAATGGAAGCTTCCTCGCCATCATCACGCCTCATACCGTCCATATCGCCGTCTTGCCAGATCCCTCCCACCTCTCAGGTCCAGATAACTCTCCACTGAGGCTTAAGACATTCCAATTAGGCCCTACAACACACGTTATTCCTGAATCTCCCGTGATAACTGCCCTGTGGCACCCGTTGGGGATATGCGACAATCAAGGCGGATGCCTCATCACAGTTACTCAAGATGCAGCAGTCCGTGTATGGGAGATTGATAGGAATAACCATTGGTCATTTGACAGGCCAACAATTGCTGTTGATCTGAAAAAGCTGGTGGATGGGACATCCATAGAAGAGGACTTTGCGCCCTCTGGATTTGGTCACAACAAGGGCTTCTCTGCGGATTTATTTGATATGGAGGTTGCATCGGCTTGTTTTGGTGGCCATGGCTACGAGGACGAAGATGCATGGGCTCCAATGACGCTGTGGGTTGCCATGCGGCCAGGGGATGTCTATGCGTTGTGTCCACTACTGCCCTCAAAGTGGCAAGTTCCTTCTGTTGCTATTCCATCCTTGACGTCGTCTATTGTTCATAGACTGACAAGCTTTCAAAATGATCCATCTGAATCTAAGGAGTATATAGCTGTCCAACAGCAATATGAATGGCTTCAAGAAATTGACAACCAAGAGCCTCTGCCGCTCCCTGAAGATTTTGGGATTTCATCAATGTCTGAGATTCGTTCTCGTCCAGCGAACTTCAGTGCCATCCCACGATTGCAAGGGCCGTTTCATTTTGAACTTGGTGATGATCTAGATGAGCTAAATCTCACGGATATTTTGGTTATTGCAGCAAAGACGGACGTCGAAGATTTGATGTCCGGGGAAGAGGGCTATGAAGCAGAGAAGACTCCTCATGAGGGTGTGTCAGCAACAGTGATATGCCTTGCCACTGCCACAGGTAGGGTCCATATTTGCCTTGAGTTGGATGGAGTGGAAGGTCAATGGCTTCCCAAAACACACAAAGGGACATTTACCACTCCAGTGTCCTATCCACAAGAGCTATTATTATTAGAGTCCTTGGAGACAGTTAAGGAGAAGTACCAAAATCCAAAGTCCTGGCCACTGTTTACCGAAGATGCCCACTCTCGGTATAACTTCTTTATTACTTCTGCGAACAATGTTACTTTTCTCTCTTTGTCCTCTTGGGCCGAGAGACTCGAAGCAGAATTTCAGTCAACCGACCCCGCCGGCTCTGAATTCCGCATCAAGGTTCTTTGCGACGGATCGATGACACTACGAGAACAAATAATCCAAGTGACCGACCAGGAATCCCTGGTTACTCCTTCATCCGATCCCGAACATCTCCCAAACTGCCTAGTCCTCTACGACTATGACCTAGGCTACCTATTACTAGCACACACCACTTCACGCATTCACGCCGTGGTCCTCGATTCACCATTCTACTCCGATTTCCCATTAGCGAACGAACTACCCCCCTTAGAAACAGATTCCTCCCAGCAGCCATTGCTCATCCCCCACCGTCGCATCGCCTACCAGCCACCATCTATCTTTTACACCCCATCTCCCCTTGCCTCCTTTATCGAAAAACACGTCGCGCACGGCCACAGACACACTCTCAAAGAGCCAGTTCGACTCTCCCCATCGACGCTGGACCTCATTACCGCCGCACACAGAGTTCTCAGCGCTCATACCAGTTCCCTGGAGCGAGCTGCGTCGGATCTTTTTCGCCGTTGCGAGCGGTTACAAGGTGAGATGCAAGACCAATTAAGCCAACTCGCGGAAATTGCGGACAGGATCAATAATATATCCAATGGCATTGGTCACGGTCAGAATGAAAGTCAAGGTCAAGATCAAAGCCACATCGAGAAAACCCTTGAGCGAAATGAGCAGCCTCTAAGTTTCAGGATGGCTGCGGCAGAATCTAGACAGAAGCAGCTGGTGGAACGGTATAATAGTATTCGGAGCAAGTTGGCGAAGTCGGGCGGCAGGCCGATGGGTGATAAGGAAAAGGGGTGGATTGACGAGGTTGATAGGCTTTCTGTTTTCCTCGGTGAGAAAGAGGGAGACGGAGAGGGAGATGGGGATACGGAGAGGGTTGGTGAATTGGCCCATAGGATGCAAATTGTAAGTAATATTTTGTCCATTTCCTCCCGTACCTCCTTCCTTGGGTTTTATTTTCATTTCCGAATTGTTTTAACAAATCCACCAAAAAAGGCCCAATCCCTCGCCAGAAATCTGCTTGCAGAGGTATCCCGTATCACGGAAGAAACAGCATCATCAACGCCCCACGCACCCTCAACACCAGGTCCCCCTATCAGTCATCACCCCAAGATCCCGCAGCGTCTTCAACGTGCTAAAATCGTTGATGCAATGAACATGGTTGAACGAGAGTGAGTTACCGAAACAAATATACACGTTTGTAGCATCATAGACTAATTTCGAGCCTTCGCAGATCTGCCGTCATCGATGCGATTACGGCGAGATTGGATCGGCTTACCATGAGCATTAATGGGATCGACTAGTAAAAAAAAAAAAAAAAGATGATTCTTGCATTTAGCCTCCGTTTTGTGTGTTATATTGTTAACATTCTTTCTTTCTGTTGTTGTTTCTCCTTCCAGAGGTATTGCACGCTTGTTGCAATTGGGATTTTGTTTATAATTATAACTGGTTAAATTCCCACCATCTTCTTTTCCGCGGATGCTCACACATTTTTCTTATTTTTTATTCATCTTCGACTGGGAGGCTTCCCCCCCCCCGCGGGGGTGTAATCACATTTTGCGTTGTTTCAGTTTCCAAATTTTCTGAAGGAAGAAATAGGAATTATATCCCATGTTTTGTTTTGTGTCTTTCTGAATCCTAAATACGAAAAGGAGAGGGAGTTTTGGGTGGAAAATGAACATCTGACCTGAACGGTTTGTGCTTTCTCGAGATCCTTTTTTTATTGAACAAATCTACAATCGCAGATCTACGACCAACGTGGTTCCATTTTATCCACTCTACGTTCTCTGCATTAAATATGGACCTCGCCTTTCCAGTGAAAAAGTGTGCCGAAATTCTCTCAGGTGGGAAAATTCCACCCCGTCTCTTCCGTAGATGACAGTTTTCAATCTTCTGCTTGGGTTTGAGTAAAGGCGATGCAAACCCCTGGAAACACCCAATTTCAAAAAACACCTTGACATCACTGCCCGCGCAACTGTAGATCTGGGAAAGATTTAAGGGATTCAGGGGGAATTCGATAAGTCAGACATCAGGAAGAAAGAAAAAGAATATAAATCCAGTACGCTGTATTTAAACAGTATTTCCTTCAGCCAAAGGTAATCATTTCAATGTCTAATTCATTTATTTATCAAAACAGCAGCGAGCTAGTTCATCCACATCTGAAGTTTGTACAGCACACACACCAACGCCCGACAATGTTCCACTGAAAACCCCTAACTTGACTGATCTTGCTGTTTGTCAAATGATTATCTCCCTAGAACTCCATATATCACGCATGCATGCCTCTTCCTGATGGGGGTATCTCAATCGAAAGTGAGAACGCCAGTGATACTCCCTCCGTAATAACCACGGTCAAAAGCGGGACAAAGATCGCTTGACTGAAACGTAAGTCAAATCAAGCTTCACACTATCCTTCTTCCCGTAACCAGTCCCAGAAAGCAAGAAAGAGACGACAAGAAACAAAAGCAAACACACTCAAAAATAGGGGGGCAGAGGAGAAGATAAACCCCTTCAGCACCATAGATCCCACTCCCCCTCAAAATCCACAGCGTCCTCTTCAAGGGCCCGCAACTTCTGCACAACAAACTCCCACTTCGGTAATACCAGCGCATCAAGCTCCTCCTCCCACTGCCCCACGTCCTCCGCAAATCTGTCCCACCACTCCCGAACCATCAACTTCTCCGGCACAGGCATTAACGAGTATGGATTCGCCATCAGATTGTCCATGACCTTTTTTGCATTTAACCACGTCATATAAGTCCCGTTCAAAAACCGATGTTTCGCCGCCTCAAACTGAGCCGTAAACTCCTCATACGCACTCTGATTAAAGCGCAAATTCACCACGAAGCGCGGAATCTTCGCTGCCCGGAACAGGCATTCGTTTTCGTGCTTTCGTAAGCCTAGGATGGGGGCATTATAGACGGAATATTTGGGTAGACGCTGAACTTTCCAGTTGAGGAGGCGGTATACGGAGGCCTTGTGTTTGTTGAAGGATTCCGGGTCATTTGGGGAGGCGGTGTAGTAGTAATGCTCACCGAAGATGCTTTGGAGGAAGCGGAAGCGGCTGAAGCTTGCTCCGCCGGTTCTTTCAGCTTCTATCGCGGCATGTCGGTATGGGGCAGGCATGACGGAGAGGAGATGTTTGGGGAGGGGGTGTTTGTGTTTGTAGAAGAGGTAGGGACCTGGGGTTTCTATCATTGTGGGCGAAAATGTGGTGGGTTGGTGATGGCTGTTAGGGTTCAGGGGTCAGGAGGTGTAAGATTTAGGTGAGGAGAAAGGCTTGGAGCGTTTGTACAGGGAAGTGATAATAGATACCTTTGGAGAGATTGGACTGTATATTCCGTTTGTTAGGGTTTAGGAAAGGAGAGTAGAGATTTGTAAATCAGTGCGCAGCAGATTCTCGAGGGGGGGATTTCGCGTGGTGAGCTTTCGAGACCTTTCTGGGCGACGTGAAGCAATATTACACTCGAAAAAATACAGCAGATAAAAGGGGGGTTGCCGGGGAGCAAGAATATCGTTTAAAGGGGGACAACCAATGTGTTGGGGATACCATGAATCACAAAGATAGAGAGTGCCCCTATCCTATATGGTAAGAGAGAAGCGAAAGGACGGAAAGATATCATCACCGGAGTCCGTTGTTTAAAGAATATAGCAAATAACCAAGGAGGCCGTGTCCTTTCTCACTGCTGAAACCGGATTGTATATAATCATAGAAGAAGGGAAGTCATGGAATGAACATCTGTGGTAGGATATCAATAACACCAGCAGCAGCATTTGTCGAGCTATGAAAGCCCGCACTGAAGAAAAGGCGGGGGATGGGAAAAAGGAAGAGGAAAGAAATGTATCAAATAACATCAGTTATTTGACTTAGAATAAAGGATACATTCTAAGTTGGTCTTTTCAAGCAAGCACTGTCTGTCACTCCCCTGTTGCCTGCAGTAGTAGTAGTAGTAGTAGTAGTACATTTGAACACAAGTAACTCAGCATTGAACAGAAATATCAGGTACATTGAAGAATATAAAACAGCAAACAAAGTGCACATTTCCTTCTGTTTCACAGATCTCTCAGATCTCTCAGATCTCTCTCTGGCAAATTTTCAGCAAGAGTCAGTTATGTTTCAATACTATAACAACTGACAGCTATCTTGAAGCCCTATACAGTAACTCGCAGCAGAAACATCATCAGCATCCGCGTAAAAAGAATGAGCAGAGAAAAAAACACAGAACACAGAACACAGGAAACAGAAAACAGAAAACAGAATACAGAAAGGGGAAAAGGGAATAGTAAAGCATACCAGTGTTATGCGCTCGCTATACACACATGTGGGCCCTTGATCGCTTGCTTGCTCCCTTCTCCTGAAAGATGTACTTCCCAATATGGATCCTATCATTCTCAAGGCGCCCCCTCTCCCCCCAAAAAACATCAAACAGCCGAAATATATTCAGGATAAGACCACCAAATCGACCAGCAATTCCCTAGCTTCTTGTCAAGCCACCAGCACCTCCCAAGTCGGGAGGGCAGACCGATCCCTCGCCATCTCCAACCCACGCACAACCGCACTATCCAACAATCCGTTCCAATAATCCACCGCGCCAAACAGAAGACATAGCGCATGGAGCGTCCCATCATGTCCCTCGCGGATGATAACGTTGGGTATACGGAAAAAACAGTTCAAAATTTGCTGTCGGGACACAGGCCCTGGCCCTGATTTACGCAGTGGATGTAGGCAGTAAAGGCCACGCTGCGGGACCTCTTCGAAGGTTTCGAGGGTTCTGAAGTTCTGGGAAGAGAAAAGTCTCGATAGAGGCGGCGGTGACGTTCGTGGCGTCGAGCATTCGAGGATGTGGATATGGATGTCCGGAGCCCTTCGCACGTGACAAAATGGATTTTGCAGTTCTGGGCTGGGAAGAGGGGTGTGACGGTGCTGCATACCCTAAGTCATACTGGGCGGCGCATCGGGATAGAGATCGGACTTGGGCTGGGAGGAGGCACTTGAGTAACCTTCTTCCCGGTTGATAACCCTCTGACGTTGGCAGGCTTTACCCACGTAATGGTATTCACTTCTGCGTCGGGTAAATGTGACAAGGAATCTCAAAAGAGTTTAACTAGAAGGGGAAGATCACTTCCAAACTCCTCCGTCAAAGTGCCATGTAGCATCTCAGGCACCGGGTTCGCGATAGAGCAAACCTCGGCGGCACAGCAAGACACATTTTAGAATGTTGGTTAGCCATGCATTTCTCAATACTGTTCGGGGATCTCTTTGTATTTGCTGAAGAGAAAAATGGCAGGATAACCACGTTCGGTAGCTTTATTAAAGCTCTAGGACCCCACGTGGAGGCCAGGAGAATGACAAGAGAGTAAAGGAAAAAAAGGTGCGCAGTAGGGATGGCTATTTAGTTGTCTGTAGGTAAATTTCTCAACGATTAAACATCTGCACCCTCCGACAACGAGGGAAAAGAGGTAATGTTGAGATGAGAGGTAAATAAGATGGTCGTGAATTAGAGAAGTGAGGACTGGTCAACGAGTTCCATCAGTCAACTCTTATGAGGGTATCATAATGGGTATCAGAATTAAAAATACATAGTTGTGCATAGTAGTAGGACTTAATACTTTTGCAATTGTTCTGATTGTCCTAGTTACAGAGAAGAAAACATAACATTCATTTCTTTGTGGTATTGCTGTCCAAAAAAGCAAACTTTTACATTCACTGCAATCTATATCGCGATATTAGTATATAGCCCCTAATACATGGCGCTTGGATACGCAGGAAAGAGATTCGAACAAAGCAGAGGGGGAGGGAGAGGAATGTAACGGCGTGAGTGGACATACCGTTCAATGAGATGAACCCCTGAAGCCGTCTCCACAATCCCACTAACCTGTCCCGGCTCAAGAGCAAACGCAGCCTCTTCGAATTCAGCCTGCATCTCACCTCGACCGAAAAATCCCCTAAAATAAATCAATCAAATCCATCAGTCACCGCAATTCCCCATGCGAAAAAAAAAAAAAAAAGGGAAAAAAAAAGAAGAAAGCAAAAAAGAAAGAAGAGGGATGGAGGGAGAGAGAGACGTGGAGGTGTGGGGGGGAGGTGGGAAGAAAGAAAACACTAACAAATCACCCCTCTTCCTCGCACTACTACAATCCGATTCCGACATCGCAATATCCCCCAACGTCTTCTCCCCCGATCGAATACTCTCTTCATGCCTTCTCAGAATCTCCAGCGCCTCCTCCTTGGACCGCGTAATCTCCGCCTCCCGCCAGCTGCTCGGCCGGCGACTACCTTGATGCTTGATTAGGAGATGGCTGGCGCGAATCTTGCCATCGGCTGAGCTCGAGCCCACACCCGCGCTGGTGACTCCGGTGGCGGCATTATTACGCTCTGCAAGCCCGCTGTGGTGCTGAGCCATGTATTCTTTGAGTTTTTCGGTGTCAGTGTTGGAGGGGGGTTCCCATCTCGATTCCTTGGTGATGGGGTTGAAGTAGTATGGGAGGTTTTTGGAGTTGGAGTGTCGAACTTCCCAGCCGGAGGGGAGGCCGGTTTCGGATTGGTTGATCTGGGGGATTGTTGTTTGGAATTGTCAGCTGCGCGCAGATGGGAGGGTTGGGGGGTTGGGGTTGTGTGGTATGAGGGACGGGGGGTGAGATGGGAGATTGGGCGCATGCTTACCATGATGTCAAAATGTTCTTTGGAGCGGGCGGGGAGACAGTCGATGTTACAATGAAGGGGCTACTGTTGGCATTACATCTATAGATGGGAAGTAATAGTTATTAGCGAAAGGAGGTAGATCTAATCTTGCTTTCACTTTCACTGTAAGATTCAAGTGAATAAACTATGGTTCCAAGGCTGGATGGGTGTGGGTCGCGTAGGCCACTTGGCCGGAGTTGGTTAAGTACCTGGGGTACCTAGACATCTCTCCAAGGACGACCAAATAACCGTCAACACAACAATTCTCCAGCAAACACGTACCATTGACGCAAGCCATGCTCCAGCGCACAACAGAGGATGGTAGAGTGAGTACAACACGTAACTCAGGAATAGTCTGCCTCTTATACCTCATATTACATATACACATCTCGCATAACTAACCAGTTAGTTACTCTCTATTTGTCACTTCTCCAAGATTTGAATGTAGGGAGTTAAATATTTGGGAACTTGGACCGGAGGCTTCTTCCGAGTACATGTCGCGATGTCCGAATCGCTGATCTCTGAAAATGACTCTCATTAGAACCCTCATAGATCAAATGAATCTGTCTAGATTGCTTCAGATCAGACACCACACAGTTGGCACGTTGCCCCATGCATGGGTAGATCATCGAGCACTCTTTATTCAAGGATATCTACTTCAATCGTGTCGGCAGAATAATCCTATTTCATTGTTGAACCGAAATGCACACTCAGGATATAAAATGCTCCTCTCTTTCCAACAAAAAACCTCCAATCTAGTTCAGATAGGAGTGATAAAACCATTTTGTGGTTGTCGAATGAGACTGCTTACTCCCCTGACCAAACACCGCACCAAAAAATTCATCGCCGACACTTGGCGTTTCAAAGGCACCCGACTTCTCTTTCTAGCTTCAACACTCGCGTGGATTGTTCTTCAGCACTAGAGCACACAACGGTAATGTGCTCGCGGGTGTCTTGCGGATACGTATGCGCGGACTCCCCGAGGTTCATCGGTTAGTGTCATGAATCTCGTGTGTTTACCTAGAACAAATATCTGTGGTACCGGAAAGGAGAGGCTCATTCTCTGTCTGCATCGCCTCACCAACAAGCCAAACAGCCGCGTCAGGACGAGTCCAGTGTGTCATCCTGGTTGCAACGGGAAGCGTGATTGCCACGCCATTCCTAATAATTTCCCCAATGGCTCTCTTCAGAGAGCCTTGTTAACAGACAGAATATGGTATAGAAAAATGACGTAGTTTTGAAGTCGTGGGAAGGAGGCTCGAATTGTGAAGTATAAGATATTGGAGTTTCTTTTCAGGATTTGGGATTCAATGCCTATCCAGATCGATCAGGGACTGTTGCCACCTCAGGTTGCTTTTTAATCATTGATGATTTAAGCGCCCAGCGATCAAGTCAGAGTTGATTTCAGCCCACTGTTCAAGCAAATCCCCCTTCTCTGGCTCTCCTCCAATGAATAGTTATCTAAAACGCCAGCGCTATACCCGTGTTTGATCTATGTACGGAGGCAACTTCAACCTCTTTCGTCCCAAAACCGTCCACTACCTAGAAGCCCTCAAGCAGCAATTTAGATACTTCGGCCCGTTTCCGGCTAAATACAAACTAATCGCAGCGCCAATGGCTGTTCATATTGTTTTGTACCTCACAGAAATAATCCCTCATCGAGATACGACTCCATTCTCCCGGATGACGGAGCGGGAGGTAGGGAAGCGGGATAAGAAGCTTATCGGGAAGATTACAAAGATAAATTGGATGGATAGGCCTAGCGCTAAGGAGTTGTTGGAGGGATGAATGATCGAAGGAGGGCGGGGATAGTGGGGAATGGTTTGATTGATTTTCTGCCTTTTCGGATTTTTTGCTTCTTGGATTTATGTTGGCGGAGGATATAATAGATACTCCCCATACCTCGATACTCCCTCAATCTCAAACAGAACCGTTACCTGAATTTGGTTTTCTTATGCTTGTTGAGCCTACCAGAGCTGATGCCGCAAGCTGTTTCTCACCAGGACTTTTCCATACGAAAACATGTATATGGTTTGCATATGCCGGTATCCCACTTCAGAAGCGTAAATGCAACGGCCAAGTCCCAGCTTGGATACAGGATTCTGTCAGTTTTGCCAGTGAAGGAGCTTGCTGAACACTGCTGGGCTCTGTAATTATATTCCAAGTTTTAGTTTAATTTCTTTTGGAATGGGAATCCAACCCATAAGACTTACGTTCTGTATATTTTCTTCTTGTATTCTATCTTTTTAACTTTTATGTCATTCCAAATCGGGTTTAGTGGGTTCTTTCTTCAACAGCTTCCAACCATCGAATCAGTCTCAGATCTTCAATCTCAACCATCTTCACTCCCCACCTCGATCTCTTAATATTCTCTCAGCTCTTTCTACTACATACAACATCCAAATAACGTCCTTCCCGCCTCCCGCTCACTACGCCCGCCGCCTATCTCCCCCATTTCGCCCATCTCCCCCCACCCACCTCGAACATGTCTTCCCCTAGCTCCTCCAACGGTGACGACCAGTCCCAGAACGTCGGTCAAATCCATTTCCGCTTCTGTCGTGAATGGTTAGTCCTTTCCCCCCATACCCATATCTAAGCACCTTTGGAAGGAAAATCAAAAATCTAACCACTTTTCCTTTCTAGTTCCAACCTCCTCTACCCAAAAGAAGACCGCGCCTCCAACAAACTCATGTACACCTGCCGAACCTGCCACGTCGGCGAACCGGCTACGTCCCCCTGCGTCTTCCAGAACAAGCTCAATACCCAAGTCGGCGATACGGCTGGCGTGACTCAGGATGTGGGATCGGATCCTACGGTTGGTTTTCCCTTGTGTACTTTGTGCGGAGAGGAGATTGAGGAGTAGCTTGTTTTGTCTCTTCTATACTACTGATTGTTTTGCAATTGGGAGACGCAAAACACACAATAAAAAAACCAGGAAAAAAAAACACTAAACGACGAGTTTGGATGGGGTGTGATTGGGGGAAATATATGGATTGGTTTTTACCAACTGCATTCCCCTTCCGACACCTCCAGAATTCTGTCGTTCATTTGCATTTGCATTCAAAATCCAAGAAGAACAAAAGGGAAAACGACAGTTTTTGGCTAACGAAAACTTTTTTTTTCCCCAGCTGCCACGGTCAAATAAACTTTGTCCGAGCTGCGGTGAGAACGAAGCGGTGTTCTTTCAGTCTCAACAACGGTCGGCGGAGACGGGAATGGTATGGATATATGGATCCTTTTAATTCTGCCCCTATTTTATTAGATTTGGAGGGACAGGAGCATGGCTAACCACTGTTGTTCCGGGTATAGAAATTATACTACGTGTGCTGTACTTGTGGGAAGGTGTTTACGTGATTCTGTGGCGGGGTTTTTGATTGTTCTGTACTTTTCCATATTCTGGATTTTATACCCATTCGACGGACAGGGTTTGCATGAGCCTGGAAGTTATGGCGTTTTATGGGTTTCATATATTTCTTGTTCCATAGATTTAATTTTTTTTTTTTTTAATTTTTTTTTTTTAATTTTTTTTTTTTTTTGGGGGGTTGGATGGAGGGGAAGAGGTGCAGACTGAATTATCATATGATCTGATGGGATTTTTATGTCCGGAAATCAAAAGCGCCAAACCAGCCAAAGAGAAATGCACATGATTTCTATACAAATACAATATTCTACAGATGCATCGGTGCCAACGACAAGATCTTCGACCAGCCCTTCTTTTGTAGTTCCTTCCCCACAATCCCTGCTCATTCATGAGGTCAAGTATCAGTATCAGTTAAACGCAATATCCCCCAATTAAAACATATGAAAAACCAGATCAAAGAATTTAAAATAAAATAAAAAACGAAAAACCGTGTCCAAGAAGACAACAACCACTAACCGTTCAGCCTCGTCCCAATCGGATCCCCCGACTTATTGATAAGCACACACGCATTGTCATCGAACTTCACCCATGAGCCATCAGGTCTCTGCACCTTCCTCGCCCTGACCACGACAGCGTGCAGGACGTCGCCCCGTCTGACCTTGGTGGTGACCCCGCTACTGGCACTGCCCAAATCCGGGCCGAGGTTCCGCTGTTTCTTCACGACGACGATGATGCGATCGCCTGGGACGTGCGATTGATTATTAGGAGCTGAGAGGGTAACGGATAAGGGTAGGGTAAAGGGTTGGACGAGGAGAGCGCTCGCTCACCGATTGTAGCGGCGCGTTTCAATTTGAAGACGCTGGCACATTCGACGATGGCGGCGCCGGAGTTGTCGATGCAGTTTAGCAGCGTCTGTGGAATTGGGATTGGGGGGGGATAGGTTAGTTTGAAGGTTTGGACGTGGGATGTATAAGGCACAGGGTAGTCTGTTTTCTTACCTTTAGTTGGATCATCTTGGTTGCATGGCTTTATGTGGCCCCGCCTTCTTCTTCGTCCTCTTCTTCTTCCTCTTTCTTCCCGTTCCCGTTTTTTAATCCTTTCAACTGCCCAAACCTCTCGGCCCGGCGAATCTAATCTTCCGGGACAGGTTAGTCATCTAGCAAACAGCCAGCCAATCAGAAGCCGGGCGCCCCTTTCTGCACGGGAGCTGGTCGCGCCGCGCCGAGATGCGCGCTTATATAAGCCGAGACCTCAGCCCCCATAGTTAGTTGACTAACTAACTATGGATAGGTATAAAACCCTGTCATACGCGAAGAGTTAGTTAAAACGGCCGTTGCCGCCAGCCTGGGGCTATTTCTTCACCGGCCGCTTCTCCCTACTCAAAGGCGCGACTCTTGGGGGGGAAAAGAAAGACTTGTTCACTTGTCCCATTTTTGCATCGAATCGAATTGGGTTGAATTTGATCAGGAACCTCCTCTGTCCGTCCTTTGTGTTGATGGTATGGTGTTGCTCACGATGGCAATCGCGTCTCTACCGTGGCATGCGACATCATCTTTAATCTTATCTCGCCTGTAATAATTATCACTATCTCATTTGCTTCTCTGTCGTTCTTCCAAATAATCTTTATTCGTGTATTTCATATATATTTATTTCTTAAAAAGGAAGAAGATCCTTCCTTGTTCCTCCGTCCGTACGCAACCCCTCTATATCCCCACAGTGCATATATACGCTAAAGGCCATTCGTTGGCCTTCTTGTTCAGAGAGAGCTCTCGACTTCGCTTGACTTTCGAATGGCGCCCAGCGCACCCCCTCCAGACCGCAAGGAGAAGTTAACGCTTTCTCAGCTTGCCAGCTACGATGATGTGATCACAGACGCACTGGTGGATCGGGTTAGCATCCCTTGAGCATGAGAGAACTTGCCCCACGAATCCATGATGATATCTGTCTTATGGCGCATTCCCACTAACAAACTTCAAATTTGTGCTATGTTATGATTAAAAAGGCCTACTTCTGGACCAAAATCCGCAAAAATCGAACCAAATATTTCCCTTGCAGAGACATTCTCGAGGAGCAGGTGACCTCCATTCTCCTCCACGATGTCATTGTTGGCAAGGACGCACCAAAGGCAGAGAAAGCCCTCCTCGCTCTCCCCGGACTGAAGAAGTTCGTCGATCGCCTCAGATCCGAGCAGGAGAAGGAGTGGTTTCGGCGCCATCTGCGCAAATATATCGTCATATACTTGCCCGATTGCCCCTTTGAAGTCATGACGACGAACAGGTATACCATCACGATGCACGAGGCGGCGGTTTCTGCGAGGAAATTCATTGCGTCGGGAACTACTATTAAGGGTCTGAGCGGCACGCTTGTGCCCATGACGCGAGAAGAGGAGATTGATCTTGACATGACGAGGAAGGATTTTAGTATTGTGATGTCCAGCCGGAAGAAGACGCCGTCTATCTTCTTGGGGCCGGCGAGGTTTGCGAATCACGACTGCAATGCGAATGGGAGGTTGGTTATGAGGGGTCCTGAGAGCATGGAGGTGGTTGCTACGAGGGATATTGTGGTTGGGGAGGAGATTACGGTTTCCTATGGAGATAATTACTTTGGCGAGGATAATTGTGAATGCCTTTGTCATAGCTGCGAGCTTGCTCTGCGGAATGGTTGGGACCCGAATGGTGTGTGTTCAGGGGCGGATAGTGGGATGTCCACGCCGGCTGATCCCATTGAACGTGATCAGTCTACAGTACCTATGCCTCTGTCGTCGGGTAAGAAACGGAAACGCGCTTCGGAGGCTGCGTCTCTCTCTACGGAGTGTTCTCCGCCGTTGATGAAGAGAAAGGGGGGACGCAAGTCTTCGAATCTGAGGTTGGAAATGTCTGCTCCCGGTAGCCCCGTGGCTGGTGAGCCCTCTTTCCTGTCGACGCTGGATAAATCCCTTTCTGCCTATGCAAGCAGTTGCAAAGATCCGACCGCCAAAGAATTCTCTGAGCTGGCAAAAGGGCTAGACTTCCACCAACCTGATCCTCTCGATGTAGGCAATAGTTGTCAATCTACGGCTACAAACGACCAGGCGTCTTGCTTCTCTCCTATCCCGGATGAAATGGATGAATCCTCCACCACCCCCAGCTCCACAGCGCCAACCTCCATATCCGATATTACAACATTAATAAAGACAGAACCACCAGAGCAAACTTCAGTCGACCAGACCGCACAACCCACCAACACCAATCAACCATGCAACCAGTCCGCCCAAACACCGCGAATTCCAGAACATGTGTCCGAAGACAACGACGACGGTGACTTGTCCGACCTCTCCAACTCCTGGGAACTAAACGACACAACCATGCTCGTCGTCAAAAAGGACCGCTCCCGCCCACAACCCCAACCCCAACCCAAATCCCACCCCTCCATCCGCACCCAACCCCGCAAACGCAAACGCCGCCTCCCCTCCCCGCTGCCCAACTCTCCCACCACCCCCATCCCCCGTATCCCAGGCGACTACACTAAAACGCCTAAACTCCTCGGCCAACGCTACGACCGCTGGGTCGACTGCTCCACCTGCCATGGCTGGTTCGTGCAGGGTGACTCCTACTTCACGCGCAAGGAGTGTCCGCGCTGCGAGAGGCATTCGAAGCTGTACGGGTATCGCTGGCCGAAAACGGATCGGGAGGGGAAGCATGATAGGGAGGAACGCGTTATGGATCACAGGACTGTGCATCGATTTTTGACGGCGGAGGAGGAGTTGAGGGTTCAAAGGAGGGATAGGGGGGTTGGTTCTGGGTTTGGGGGTAGTCCTACTCCGGAGAGTGTCGGCGATGGGTATGGTGGAAGTGGGAGGACGGATACGGATGGGAGTGAGTTTGGGTGTGGGGGCGGGGAGGAGAGGCGGATGACGAGGGCGGGAAGGAGGACGGTGAGGGAGATAAGGTAATGTTGATGTGATGTTATGTGATAGGGGAATTTTCTTTCTGGGTGTCTGGTGGGATGTGGTGTGTTTTTTGTAGTATTTTGTTATCCCCACTGCTATCTTTTTTTTTTCTTTTTTTTTTTTCTTTCCCGGCATGCTCTTATTACTGTGAACTATATTTGGTTTCTCTTTCTGGCGTCGAGTATGGTTAGGATAGGATGTTCTGGAGTTTGTTTCTTCTTCTTTTCTTTTTTTCGTCGCGGGATGGGGTTTGATACCTGTTCGGTGTGGGTCTTGTGGTGGGTGAGCCTGGCGCCAATCTCGATTCTAATTTCATACCATCACATCATCATATCTATTAAACACCATCTGTGCTCTTTATGCATGTACTATATCTACCTCTTTGGATTTCAATCCATACAACGCTTTCCATTTCCTCTCCACCTCTCTCCCTTCCACCATACGCATGCCAATAATTCCCTCGAAGAATCTGAAACCAAAAATCCCCCTATTTCCCGCCTATCCCTAACTTCCGTCCCAAACTTCCGTATCCACCTCACCACCTTTCTATCTAACCCCCTCCTCACTCACTTTTCCTCCCAATCACATTCCAATCCCCACCACTGCCCTCGCCACTAAACCCCTCCCACCCCGACCATCCATCCAAGCACTGCTAGCGTCCCATTCCACCTGCTAACGGGCTCACATAGTACATGCTCCCCACTCCGCCCTCCGCGGCGCAGAGGGCACTGGCGCAGCTCCCTGACGTTGAAGTCGCGCACACGGCGATTTTTGGGGCGTGGTTGGAGAGAGAGGAGGCACATCGTTTGGTTTGTTGGAGGGTAGGGCTTTCTTCAGGTTCAGGTATGTACGATGTATGCATGTATTGGAGGGTTGGAGTGGATGGTGGATGACAAGTGAGAGGGAGGGTTTTCTTTTGATACCTTTTTGTCTCCTTTCTGGGTTGTATATGGGCATGGCTGTCTCGCTTTTATATCTAAATCGTGATTCCGTAATATCAAAAATATATGTTTTTTATGTCAATCGTGATGAGCACATACATATATATATATCTCTACATTCCCCCCTTTTCAGTCGTAATCGACTATAGTATTCAACAAAACTCCTGAACAAGGTATTTTGGGTGCTGCCTGGCTAAATAATCCAGGAGCCATTCCACCTCATTTAAAATTCCGTATAATATAAATATAGGCTTCTCTGTTGGCAACCCCAAAAAGTTCCTGTGAAGTACATGTGCACTGTTATATCTATATATGAAATCTCTTCGGGGAACTATTATCCACATTCCATATCTTCCTCCGTACTCCGAAAAGCAGGGCAAGGCATTTCGAGATAAAATATTCTATATCCACATTAACTGTTCCATGGAGAGGTGTAAAAACAAGGCCCTGTGGGCTCTTTTCATGGCGGTCGGCAGTCGAAATATATATACATTTCGCTTTTTTCTTTCTTTACGCAGGTTGCCCCCATATCCATCAACATTCTTTAGTATTGCATATACCTGGGTACACGCCTAGGTAGTTACCATTTGATTATTTCGGGAATGCCTCACTCACCTGCACCTGCATCCATCTCCCATACTCTCCACCTCAACCACTTTCTTCCATTGTTTGCCTACCATTTTCTTTCTATCGCCGTACACCCGTCGCGCTCCTCTCGGTACTTACATATCTCCGTAGGTATAGCAAGCAAGCAAAGGGCTTAAATCCGATTCAGCCTTGTACGGCGCCTTGCTGTGTGGCCTTTTGGGGACTGCAACTGAATACCTCACAATGGGTGGCCAGGCGGGCAATACGCGAGAACGAATGAAATATATAATTGTCCCCTTGCGAAATCCAGCCCTGAAATCCCATAACTCCAAATTCTTCACCGTAGATTCGTAATATCCAGTGTGCCTAGGTCTTGATCTATCGTACATTCACGTAGCCCTGACAAAAATCACAAAAAGGCCGGGGCATTAATCGTCTATAAGCAACAAACAGAAGTATATAAAAGGGGCTGAAAAAAAAAAAAGGATTGATATAATAATACAAAAAATAAAAAGAAAAATAAAAAGAAACAAGGAATCTATATCAAAGCCTGACCCATAAACATCGCCTCTCTAACCTCCTTAACAATATCCTTCCGATCCTTTTTGCTAACCAACACAATCCCCCGCCCTCTCCTCCCCATCCGCCCCATCCTCCCCAAACGATGTATAAAATCAATAGTTGTATGCGGGACATCAAACAACACAACATTGCGTACAGCAACAGTGTCAATACCCCTGGACGCCAGATCCGTCGTGACAAGCACCTTAGTATCACGCAACCACTTCTGTGGGCCCCGTGCCCGTGGATCCTGATTCCGAACAAAGGGCACAGAATCCGAAAACCAACTCTTCTTATTCTGCTGCGCATCCTTGACCTCCTTGGGCGTCGGGGGCGGTCTGGCATGCGTGAATTCCTCGAGGATCTCATCCTTTCGTTGATCGGGTGTATCCCGTGATAGCGCGACGGCATGTATACCCTTCTCATTCAGGAACTGAGTGACTTCCTCTGCCGTCTCACGCTCGTTGACGAAGACGATGATATGCTTTGATTCTGGGAAAAGGGAGGCTGGGTAGGCTTCTTTGAAGTCGCGGGTTTCGCCCGCTTTGCCTAGGGACCAGATTATGTCGGCGCAGGCTAGCTTTTTGTTTCCGCGGTACGGGTCTTTGTCGACGTCTATGACGCCCAGTTGGACGCGACGGGGGACGGCGTGGAGGTTTGGAGTTACCAGGCGTTTCATTTCGGGGAATTTCATCTTGAGGAGTGTGTCGAGGCTGCGGGGGATGGTGGCAGAGCAGAGGATCATTTGTTGCAGGGATGGGGCGGTCCTTTCGACAATGGAGGACGTTAGGGGGGAGAAAGACTTGTCGAACAGGGAGTCTGCCTCGTCGACGACGAGATGGGTGACGCGGCTGAGGATGTAGGGGTTTGTCCTGGCGATGGAGGTGAGGAGATGCGGGGTGGAGATTAGGATGTCTATTCCGGCGGGCTTGAAGAGGTTATTTGTAATTCTGCGGGGGGTGTAGGCTGATGAGATCGTTACGGAGCGGTATTTAACCGTATGCGAAAGCTGCTTTGCAAGTTTCCCAACTTGCTCGACTAGCTCTGCTGTTGGGACAAGAATGACAGCCCTGGGGCGTGCGACGTTTGAATGTTCTTTTGTAACCACCTCTGGAGCATCGAGTTCAAACAAATTCTCCTTCTTTTTCTCCTCTTCCTCTTTTTGTTTTTTGTCATTTTCCATCATCTCCGTTTCCTTCTCTACCATCTCTGCTCGTTTAATCCAGTTAATGACTGGGAGGAGATAGGCTAGAGTTTTCCCCGTCCCGGTCTCAGCAGCTAAAAGAAACTGATCGAAATTGAACATCTCCATATCTTCTTCACTCCCCTCACTTGTTTTCTTCTTCGCAGTGTTATTTTTCTCAGACTCGATGGGCGGTCTAAGTAATGCTGGGATGGCTACCCGCTGGATAGGCGTTGGACTAACCTCTGTCAAGGTGGGGAACGCATTTCTGTAGACAGCATCCCGTACTAGAGGGAGAAGCTGGAACTGATCAAAGCTTGTGACGGAGGCGATCTTCTCTTTAATCCTGTTCCGGTGCGAGTAAGGTATAGGCGACAGGACGACTTGCATTTTGAGAGCCCTAAAATTCGAGCCTTCCTTGCTCTTGTGCAGTGAGTCCTTTTCGTTCCCATCTGAGGAAGATCTTTTCAATTCCGCTTCTGATCTGCTGGCGGGGCGATTGGTAAGCCGAGCGCGGGTTTGGTTCATTCCACCAAAGGGGTTATTTCTAAATGACTGAGGGGGAGCCTTTTTCAATTTCCGGGAGGGATCGGAGGACGGTTTTGCAACATCACGAGACAGGGCCATACGTGCAGGTTTGCGCCGCATGAGCCTAGAGGAAGAAGCGAAGCGGATGGACTGCCATAGTAGACGAACGGAAGGAGTCCTGCCCCAAGCAGCAGCTCCCATCTCGCCCAGCAGACATACGGACGAGAGGGGAGACATGGGGAGGGTTGTTGATAAGGAGCGGGAAATGGGTTGCTGTTGTTGTTATTGTTGTTGTTGTTGTTGCTGTTGTTGTTGTATGGAGTAGAGTAAGGGTATACAGCTATATACCTACGAACTCCATAGACAACTCAATCCATCGGTAGATAATATTTGCTCTGCCGAAGATGCAAGTTTGGATCTTGAAAATTTACAGATGGGCGCGCTAAACCCGATCTGAACTGGTTGCCGGGTCAACTCGTAACTTGCGGCTCCCGAGGCTCAACCTTGGAAACATCAACAACATCAACCCACTTCAACTACCCGAACCACTGATTTTCAGCAATTATAATCATACTAACACCACAACAACCCTCCATCCCACTTCCCCACAGAACAACTTCTCCTCTTCCCCTCCCTCCTCTTCTCTCCTCTTCTCTTCTACATCTGCTTTCCTCACTCCTTCACTTCGCGTATCCCTCCCCCCAGTCACCACAGTCTGTCTCTTCGTCCTCTCCTCTCCTCTCCTCGTTCTCTCTGTTAATTGCAGACACCCAGTCTATTCGCTTCACGTCACTCTTTGTGTGTTTGTCGTTGGCTTTGATCTCTATCATTCGTTGCCAGGTGAACGTTGCTGTATCCACCGTCACCCCCCTTTTCCCAACCACCTTGCTCGGTAAAACGGTCAAAGCAATTGCTCGTGCCGTTGTTGTCTTTCGTGAACAATACCATTCGGTGTTCTATACTCTAACTCCTACCAGGGTTGGCAACCCCGGGGAAAGGATATCGTTGTCACCTGACTCTTTCAACTACAGGACGTATGTGATTCTAAAATGACTATTTGTTTTGAGTTAGTTGCGTTGCACGCAAGGTTGCTAATCAGTTGTCAATAAAGGCTGTCTGAGATTGGTAGATACTGTCCTCTGGTATTTTAGAAGGGGCGTGTCACTCAGCATTCGTACAAGATGGCCAGCGGTCAGCTCCCTCTGACTGAGTTGAGCCCTGCAACTCAACGCAGAAATTCCCCAAGCTGGGACCAGCACGCCAAGGTAGATGACCAATTTGACCTCCCGCCATTGTTTACGCTATGTATATGTTGACGAACATGGTTAGGCCCCTATCGCCAATGGTGATTCATCGCAGTTGAACTCGTTCGCTTCGCCCAACTCTCCCAGATTGTTTTGGAAGGATAGAGATAGCGGGTCTCCTTCGAGAACGAAATCCGAAAATCAGAGTCCTTATGACCCTGAAGTCCTGACGACTCCCTGCAAAAGATCCTCCATTGAAAATTTAAAACGAGCCTCCCGGGTGAAAAATAGCAGCATTGTTGCTCGAGAGAAGAACCAGGAATATGACCCTGCCCATGTTCAGGTCTTGCAGCGCCCTCTGGCCACCGGCAGGCCGCTCAGTTTGCCATTCAAAGGTGACGCAAAAGAAACGGGCATTGTGGATGCCAGACGTCAATTACCATCTCAATCATCTTCTCCACCTAAGCAGCATCCTCATGTTGGGAATAACGGCTCTACTAACACAACCCCTGTTGCCCCAAGTTTGGGAGCCATGTCTCCCACAACCAGACTATCTCAGACCTCTCCAAGCAGACCCCAATCCTCCCCCAACAAGTCATCTCTGACGAAGGGGGGACGGTTTGGGAATAAGACTGCACCATTTGATCCTGACAATGAGATCTGGTCTGATAACGATGACACGGCTACGGAAACAACTCCTGGTCGTCGTTATATGAACCGTCAGACTAAAAGTGTTACTTTTGATGCTGCACCCCCTCAAGTTAATGAGTACGAAATGACCACTCCGGTTCCATCATCAACTGCCTCCAGCTTTCGGGAGGGGAGCTATGATTCTGCCGATATGGAAGAAGAAAGTTTTGATCGTGGTTCTTTATTATATGGCACAGAAGACAGCTTTGACGCATCACTGGAAGATGCAGAGAAAACGCCTGTTGTCCTGCCGGAGGACTGGCGCTTAATGAGTCCGGATAGATCTAATAGCAAGGACCTTCAGGGAGAGGATGACCCCTTCAGTGAAGATTTCGGCAGCCCTGGCTCAGATGAGGGACGGCCATCTGTCCTTGAATCGCACTCTTTTGAGTTTGCTGACTCTAACGGCGACCACCGCCCTCTTCCTCCGCTGCCACCATCCAATAATGCTCAAGTTACTCCGTCTGCAACAATGGAACTCACAAGTAGTGGTTCCCGTGACTTGCCGCTCCCCATGACTCCGGCGTCTTATTCGAAGGATGATATTAGCCGATTCGGTCATTCGTCCATGTCGCTGGAAGATAGACTTCGCTTAATGATGGCCCAGGATAAGGAACGATCCCCAGAAGCCGAAAAACAGCGTGAGCGGAGAATGAGGCGTGCCGGAATAAAGGAAAAGACCCTGGATCGCGACAATGAGAGTAGGCAGTCCTTCAGCGATACTTCAAGTCCCAGACAGGACAGTTCGCCATTCAATGCGCATGTCTCTCCGCCCCATATTTCGAGAGAGTCCATTTTACGAAACATCAGAAACAAGAACGGTGTTGAAACGGAAGACTTTTCGTCTCCGCTGCACAGCTCTAGTCCCCAGTTCCATACTCCATTAGATCCTGATGCTCTAATCCCTTCTTTGGAGACAGACAATGGAGAGGTTGCCATCAAGGAGGAACTAATTGAGGATGGCGACATTTACGAGATCCCTGAGTATTATTCTCAGATTGCAGACGACGACCACGAAGGCGATGCTGATGATTATGATAATGAAATGCGACATGCCCATGGGAATGAGTACACCAAGATTTCTAACAATCCTGAACAACAACAGTCTTTCAATGACTCGGAAAATTTATCTGATAACCAGAGTACGCCTGTTGCTCTGGCTACTCCATACCACTCGATGCCTGAATTGAGCGCAGAGCCTTCTGATATTTCCGCCATTTCTGGCATCTCTGGTATCTCTGGTGAACAGGGCTCAGAACTTGACTTAGGTTGTTCTTATGTTGATCACTCTTCAACTCTTGACGAAGCCGCCAAGCTTGCTCCTGCCCTGGATATGAAGGCGATTCGGAATTCGCTTCAGCGCCCTGATACTCCAGAGGTTCATGGCAGCCAGGAGTCAAGGAGCGTTCATGGCAACGACAGCCATAATGATCCTGTTACCCCTGAATCGGTAATTCGTCATCCAATTGATAACCAGATGATCCCAAGCGATGAGTTCCTAGCCATTCCCGACCCCCTTGCGACGGTTAGGTCTTCCAGTGGCAACTTTAAAACAAAACTTTCCCTCAATCCAGCGGGAGTCCAGGAAATGGCAGCGACTCGCCGCAAGGTAAGCGGAAAGGAGTCGTCTGTGCCACAAATCCCAGAAGAGCCAGGGACCGAATATTCGTCCAGTAGCGCGGAACGCGTTGACCATTTAGCCCCGTTTTCGACTAGTCCACCGCAGTTAATTCCAAATGTAGCAATGGATAATATGAAACGGCAAAGCTCTCTCGTGAAGCTCGACATTCCCGTCAGTGGAAGCGATGAAGATTTAGGTTTTGGACTTGACCTAGAATTTGACCGCGTTATTGAGGCCCAAAAGGTTGCGTTTGACACTTTCCTTTCTAAACAACCCTATTACAACACCCAGGTCAATTTGGCCCAGAGAAACATGCACCATGGGAAAGGATACCCCCTAGATTTTGGAACTATTGCTAATAATGTTACTACGCGACAGAGAGGTTATTTTATGAGACAAAATAACAAAGTTATCGTGGCAAGCGGCCGCCAGGACGATGCCACTTCCCCTACTGGTTCGGAAGTGGAAGCTGATCCTAGAGGTACCAAGTCGGCTAGAAATTCATCCCGAAAGCCCAGCCAGCAGACGTGGACGACTGAACCGTGGAATGGAAAAATTCGCCGCCAGAGTATCAAAATAGCAGGTGGAGTGCCGAGGAAGCCGGTTCCTGGCCCTGTACCTCCATTGCCTGGTCAAGAGAGCAATGCAAAGGAAGGATTTGCTACCGTTGGGGAATTGGAAGCCAATGCGACTGAGGAACTTGATGAGGATGGAGAGAGAGGGCGACTGTTTGTGAAAGTTGTTGGAGTCAAGGACTTGGACCTCCCATTGACGCGTGGTATGTAGTGTAATTTTTATCTGGTCAATCTATAGCTGGCTAATTTTGATTTACAGGTCAACGGATCAACTTTTCCCTAACCCTTGATAACGGTCTCCATTGCGTGACAACATCGTGTCTTGAACTTGGCAAATCTGCACCCATCGGGCAAGAGTTCGAATTGGTTGTTCTAAACGAGCTTGAGTTCCAATTAACCCTTCAAATGAAAATGGAAGATCTAAAGCCTAAACTCAGTCCATCTGTTATACCTTCACCAGGGAAGACGCCAAAATTTAAGGGATCCACATTCAGTCGCGTGTTTGCCTCTCCCAAGAAGCGAAAGGAGTTGGAACAACGACAGCAGTTCGAAGCGCAGCAGCTCAAGCAGCAGAAAACTGACGAGAGAGCCCTGGATAAGGAAAACCCATGGAACGCGCTTCGACCTCTTGTTGCTAGTGATGGAAGTTTTGCTCGTGCCTATGTTTCCCTGAGTGATTATGAGAAAGCGGCTTTCGGTAGGCCGTTGACTGTGGATGTGACTTGTTTCAATGAGTGGGCAAGTAACCCGGTCAAGAACAATTCGAAGAACAAGAGATACATGGTTCATTCTTCTGGTTCGGGTTCAACTATGCAAAAGCAGCAACAACAGTATCTCCCTCCTTATCGGATTGGCAATTTGGAGCTTCAGCTCCTTTATATCCCGAAACCGAAAGGGGCTACGGAAGATGATATGCCGAAAAGTATGAATGCTTGCATTCGCGAGATGAGAGAAGCTGATAATACGGCTGCTAGATCGTTTGAAGGGTTTTTGTCACAGCAGGGTGGCGATTGTCCGGTATTGTGTTCTACGGTTCCTCGATATTTCATTATTTGTTTTGGGAGGATTTCCCACTAACCACTCTGTTCCACATAGTATTGGCGCCGACGTTACTTTAAACTCCAGGGCTCAAAGCTTATAGCTTACCATGAAGCCACCCGTCAACCTCGCGCTACAATCAATCTGGCAAAGGCCTCCAAACTCATTGATGACAAGTCGACATTAACCCAAAAGGAAACTTCCGGCAAAGGCGGGCGTCGTCGTAAATCTGCCTTCGCAGAGGAAGAAGAGGGGTACATGTTTGTTGAAGAAGGGTTCCGCATCCGTTTCGCAAATGGCGAAGTCATCGACTTTTACGCTGATAGTGCCCTGCAGAAGAAAGAGTGGATGAAGGTTCTCGCTGAGACTGTCGGGCAGGGTCATGCTGCTGGAGCGCCGAGAGCATGGACGGAAATTGTCCTTCAGAGAGAGAGGGCGATTGCGGCGAAGATTGAGGCTGCTAAGAGGGGTGTAGGGGCTGCTGCTTCTGTGGGAGCTATGGCACCACCGCCGAAGAAGGATCAGTCTGGGCCGCTGCCAGCTAGGCCCGGCGCAACTGCTCCTGTGACTAAAGGGCCTGCGGTGGGGAATGCGCCCGCGCCAAAAGCAAAACATCATCATAGCCTTTCACAACCTGAGGTGGGCAAACATGGGTTTCGACATAAGAAAACGCGATCTTTGATGTTCTGAGCAGCCAGCCATCTCACGTTCCTCGGGTTTTTCTCCTATACATTTCAATTTCTCCCCCTTTTTCTGTTCTCAAGCTGGCCCTGAGTTTATTTGACTTGCTTTCTTTCTTTTTTGTTTTTTTATTTATTTTCTTTTTGTATTCGTTACTCCTTCATCGCCCTTATTTTTAATTTTTATCATTACTATTATTTTTGATTGAAAATCTCTTGACTACCAGGCCTAGTGGGTCTTTTTATTTGACTCGAAATATTTTCCGGATTCCCCCAACCCCAAACCCTCACATTTTGGTTCTCTTATTTTTGTGTTGTCTGCTGTTTCTCACCTCTGTTGTTCAGAAACGAAAAGAAGATTGTAACCTTGGGATTGAAACAACCCGCGAGCTGTCAATAAGTGCGATTGAACGAGTATTATGCCGTCGTTTTTGACACCTTTTTACACTACTACTACCGCTGCTATTCTATTTTTTGTCTATACTTGTGTTCTGTACTTCTGTTCTTACTTTTGTGTGCTCGATGGGCCCCATGATGTGTCTGCTGATTTTGATTATGAGATGCGATTTGTCTGTAGTTTGTTTTAATTCCGTTTTACTTTTTGCAATTATTTATTTATTTCTCTTTCTCCTGTTTATGTATTATGCAAGCAATACCAAAATGTTCTTTAAAGTTTTTAAAGTTGTAGTCACGTACAATAAACTGCTGGGTAGGGATTTGCGTTGGTGGATGGGGTAAAGGGTTGGTTTGCTCGTATGGAAAAGGGGCAACGGAGTAGAATGGAGGGCTTAATGGGGCGGGGGGACAATGGCTACATGGAAGTTATGCTGGAAATGTGCAATAGATTCTGGCGGGAAGACTTAGGGTTGCTGTGAGTAAGGCTGTTAGTAATACATCAGGTATAACTAAGTATGGATAAGACAGGAAAAGCAATGTTGTTTGATTTCTCAAAGAAGTCTATATGTGTTATATAAAATTTTGTTCTCGCGCAGTCAACGTACGTTTATATACAGACAGCCTTATCTATATCATCTATTTGATTACCTCAAATCAGTATTTGACTTGTGGGGAGTCAAAACATCCATACACCGTCACCCTCCTTCCTCCTCACCGTTAACGACCTCATCTTCAGATTCGGATTCTACTTCCTTCAATGCCGCCTTCCCGCTCATTTGTGCGCCAGGAGTGTTCGGGGGTCCTTTGGATGCGGGTATTCCTCCTGAACTTACGAAGAGGAAGGTATATTCTGGGAATGTGTCGATGTGGTTGAAGAAGTTTCCGAAGCTGTGGGGCGGGCTGTGGTTAGTGCCTTTGTAATGCGAGTGTACATGTAGTGACTGATTTTCGTTGGTGGGGGGTAATATCGGGTAAATGAAAAAAGGGGAGAAGAGGGGGCGCAAAAACATACGAATTGGACTCCTCTTCTTCACGAAATATCCTTTCATAGATTTCCCGCTGCTTGAACTCCTCAATCTCCTTTTCGTACTTGGAGAAGTCGATCGGATTCTTGCCATATTCAACCACAGTCCTCTTATTATACGAGTCGAAGATAGGCCGTTCAAGCAGCAGACCCAGTCCGGGGGCTTTTGGGATGGCGATCTTTTGATCTCCGTACGTTTCTGGTATTCTTTGGATATCGCAACCACAGCGCACCACCATGGCAACCATGGCCACCATCTTGCGGATCTGGTGCATCATGAAACTTTGGCCGTGGACTTTGAGACTGAGCCACTCCGTCCCGTTGATGATTACGGGGTCGCGGGAGATTTTGAAGGATTTGATGTGTCGTTTGGCGGAGGCCTCGCAGAAGGACTTTTGGATAGTGTAGTTGTGGAAGTTTCTTGTGCCGACGTACAAGTCGAGAGCATCGTTAATGCGATCTATGCGTTCTTTGGGTATTCGGTATGCTCTTTTTGCTTCTAGGTAGGCTGCTCTGATGGCGCGAATCGCTTCATTGTTTGTCACTGTCTGAAATTCTTCGGGGTCAGCGTCTTTGGTTTCAGTATTCTCGTTAATCTTATTTAGTGTCTCATTGTTGCTAGCGGGTGCATCATTGATTTCGTGGGCTGGATCTGGATGATTTCGTTCATCATGGGAACCAGAATTGTCCGCGGATTTGGTGTTGGATTTAACAATCAGGGCTTGCTGAACACGCTTTCTAGTCGCCTCAGGCATTCGTTCCAGTATAGGTTTGATATATTTTTCATCAACTTTTTCCCAATATGTCGCAACTTCTGCCTGCCTTTGGTTATAGCCTTCAAGATCGTTTTCCATTTCGGCAATCTCAACTAGCTTTTGTCCCAAGTATGTGCTAGGATGCGGGGGGAGGAAGCAGTGTGTCGGTATTAAATACTCATATACACGCGAATCGCATAATTGATAGCTGCTGAAACTTTTATTGGTTACTTCTATTCCCCAAACCCTAATTTGCGGGCTAAGATGGTTGTTGATTTTTTGTACGACATTGGAATCTTCGACGATGAGTTTGAGAGAGACAACGTTGCCGGCGGCGTGTACGCCCTTGTCTGTCCGAGCACATCGAACAAGGGAAGACTTTTTGGGATCTGTGGCATTGGCTTTCGAGATTGCGCCGGCGGCTACAAAAGCTGTGAATAGATCACCTTCAATCGTTTTTTCAGTTTGGCTCCTATAAAAAAGGTATTAGATCAAAACAGAGCCAATTAAATCATTAGAGATTTTGAAACTGACAATTGCATTCCATGATATCCGCTGCCTGAATATCCCAGCAACACAGCAACTTTCCTTTTGGGCCGCCGTTTGTCCGCTTCAATATCTTCTTTGGAAAATTCTGTAGCATAAATAGGCAGTGCTCTCTCTCCTTGCTTTAATTTACGACGTTTCGTTTCCTGAGAGGCTTCGGTCCGTGCTCTTTTATCTGTAGTTTCGCGGCTTGGTCAGTTAGTTACGATCATATATGCGATAGAAGGGTAACTCTTTGTTACTAAAGAATAGGAAAAATACCTCCAAGCTTTCCTTCCCAAATCCTTTCTCTTATTCTTGCGATCTCCTCGTCCTCCTTTGGGGTTATTTGATTCCACGTTTCGCTCTGAAAGTTCCTGATCCTTCGAAGGGACTTGGTTGGGTGTGGCTTGCTGGTTTGGAGCCGGGGTGCTTGAAACAGTTGAATTAGGAGGCAGCTGTTGCGTATCCATCCTGGATATTGGAAAGTGAGACGGCTCATAGAGCAGACCAATTCTATTTAATTCTTCATATTGACCTGAAGGGATTATTACATCTTTTTATTCTACACATAAATTTTCCGAGGACGCCGAGGGTTTGCTTAGTCATTAGAGAAATGATTTCGATTTGGCGCTAACCAAAAGTAGACAAGCGCCCTTTGCTCTGAAACTTCATCTTCGACTTTCTTGTTCCATCGCAACTAACTCTCGATCAGATAGATAATCATTGTTGATATTATCTCTCCCAAGCAGATATCATCTCTCTTGGTCAACGAGAGCAAAGATCTCGTGGTTTATAGCAACTCGGTTCGACTCCTAGAATTTGTTCCCTCAGAGCTTTATCCCTGCTGGAGCTTAATAATCATGGTTTTTTGCTGGGCGAAGCGACCTTGAACGGAGAGAGCCTTTAAGCGAGTCAGCCGTTTCCCCCGTGGCCCCCACTGAGCTGCATCTGAGTAGATATTTCATTGCTCTTCTGGGACGGTGGAGAGGAGGCGTGATCTTATTCTATTAGCAGCATGGATCTCGCCAGCAGCCTTATTCGGACTGTAGTGCGCGCTTTCTATGAGACACGCCACATTCTCGTGATTGATGCTCTTTTCATGCACTCAGTGTATGATCCTTTCAATCTCGCGAAGACTTACAGAACCTCTAGCTAACATTCCTTGTAGCCTCCATGCCGAGGATCTCGCGCATCTTCTTGGAATACAGCAAAAGGATCTGCGAAAGCTTTGTGCTCGATTGCGCGAAGACCGCCTCCTTGCAGTGTATGACAGATATTCTTCTCAGAGAGCTTGGTTATTAATAATAATCCTAGAGCTAACATCGAGCTTGCCGTATCCAGTCATTCAAGACCGGAAATTCGAGATGGCCAAACTCGCCCAGTGAATCGCGATTATTACTATATACCCCTCTACCCCGTTGTGGATGCTATTAAATATCGTGTGTCCCGCCTCACCTCAACCATTAAGGCTCAATATACACCGACTACAGAGAGGAAGGAATATGTCTGTACAACATGCGGTGCGGAATGGACTCAGCTTGAGGTTCTTAGCCGGATAGGGCCAGAAGGTTTCGAGTGTCATCGATGCGGAGCTACGCTAGAGAGGGCAGATGAGGTCGAAGGGGGAACAGGCGCGGATCGCACTGGTCATGAAAAAAATAGCAAACTCATGGCGCAACTGGACGCGATGTTAAAACTACTCAAACAGATTGATTCTGTTGACGTTCCTGAGAATGATTTCGAAACAGCCTGGGAACACAAAATTGATGTTGTACGAAACCAATACACGAACCCGACAAAACCAGGGGTGGCTTATACCAGCAACCGCCAGGCAGCTGTTCGAGGGGTATCGAAAACGGATGCTGCCTCCTTGGAAGTATCTCTTACATCATCGGCTGAGAAGAGCGCTACTGAACAAGCCGAGGAGGCTGCGAGGAAAGCTGCCCTCGAGAAACAAAACGCACTTCCTGTTTGGCATACACATTCAACTGTGAAAACAGAACCTGGAAATCTTCCTGTCAAAACTGAAACAAACGGAACCAGCGTTGACGTATCTGCCGTCAAATATGAACTGAAGGAAGAAAGGAAAGCGGATGTCGATGCTCTCGATGACAAAGTCGCAGCATACTACGCTGAAATGGCTCGTGAAAAGGAGCGAGAGGCCAAAGAAGATGTCAGCTCCGCTGAGGAATCATCTGATGAGGAAGAGGATGAATTTGAGGACGTTGGAGTTGCCCCAAGCGGGACTACAACTCCGGCGGGGCTAAATGGAAACAAGGCGTCTATATTTTCAAATGGATCGCTGAAGAGGGAACTGGAATTTGACTCAGGCAGTAGTGCACCTCAGACCGGCATCGCGACCCCGGATATCGCTGCGGAGGATGCCCCGTCTGTCAAGAAGGTTAAGTTCGAACCAGAAGTGAAGAAGGAAGCTGAGTCAGATGAGGATGATGAAGAATTCGAAGACGTTTAGGTGATAACTGGCCAATCCTTTTAAAAAGCTAGTATTGTAGCATAGGTGCTTCTTTGTGTGTATTGTGAATCCTGCCGAGTTTCGTTCTATGAGAGAGCACTTAATTTTTGATACGTTTGGGGCTTGTTTTGCGATTCCATCTAATTGGACGGATTTAATCTAAAACCCAACTAATTAATGTTTATTCCTTAATAGATTAAGTTCTGCTAAATTTGACCTTTAAACTGTTTAACTATACTATATAAAAACAGAAAATATAAACCTACCATCCTTTTATATCTCGTTCTGTCAAACTGTCTCGAATGCGAGGGCCAGAGTAGAAAAGGTGTGGATGTCTTCAGGACTCCAAGTCTCCAGCAAGGTCGCACAGAGAGAGCCCATTATTCTTATTCTAAATTCATGATAGCGACCAAGCAGAGTTACGAGTTCAAAACGAATCGCCAAATTGCCACGAGATCACATGATCCAATGGTGAAAGTGATTTGCCTCGACACGTTTGTTCGTCTCCATGCAACACCCGTAAGAGCATCCATACACTTGACTACGGTGAATCAGAGACATGTTTGATCTCGTGACGATTTGGCCATTCATTTCGAACATGTTCTCTCCATCAAACACTGGACGCGTTCCATGAGGAGCTGACCTTATGTCCCTCCAAGTTGTTGTGGGATGCATGGTCTACAGGTGTGGAACGAAACCCTTGCAAAATCACCAGAGGTTTAAATGGTAAAAAGGTTTACCAAATCGTCCAGATTTTACTTTAGGGGTTATTAGGGCACCTCCTCCCCTGTGATGCCCATGCATTAGTTAATCAAACAGTAATCAACCCCTATACCATAGGCTCTCTGGCAGCCATATCATTGAGCCGCAGAGTGGCATTACTTGACTCCGGTGCTCAATACAGGGTATTCATATATCAAGTTAAATTTCTAGTCTGTGCGAAACATTCTCGTTCCACGCCTCTGTGCATGGGTGATCATCATTTTGCTCCACCTCTAAGACCCGTTCGATCACAACGAAGTGGTTCCTGATCCGATTGGAGAGAGAGTTTGGAGGCGTGGGCCCACGTTGGCCCACGTTTTCTGTCGCCTTAACGTTAATTGACTGGTAGGGACTCGAAACTTGAGTTAAAAGTGGATCCCCAAAACGTCTCCACAAAACGTCTCCACTGCCTAGTCAGACTGATTTGATTTTAGCTAACATGGGGCTGAGAACGAATTCGCATTTTGTGGCAATTATTGGCCATCGATCTATGACGTTCTCTTGCTATGATTGGTTACAGAAGTGTTCTGCTAGAACGCACTCTGATCATGATAGACTTTCAATTCCATCTTGGCTTACGGGATAGTTCACTCCTGGCTAGCCTAACCATCTCGGGGCGTTTGTGTTTGAGTGCCTGATTCTCCGACTTATGTTACAATACGGCTAATTCCCAACCATGGGTATTTGCCCCATAGTGCGGTTTCATTCTCCAAGTTGGTGAAAGGAGATCAGTTTGTCTTCTCGAAACGGCAGTTTCGTTTGTTTAGCCGGATGTTGTCTGGATGTCAGCAGCCCACGACTGATAGTTCAATACTCTGATCAATTCCAAAGGAAGAAAGAAATTTCAGAGTTTTCAGAGCCTAGTGGTGAATTGATGCTGTCTCCGGTTCTTGATTCACCATAGAAACCGGGAGCATCCTTCATCTTTGAAGAGAAGGCTTTTCGAAGCTCAGGGTTGCGGTCGACTACGGCCACTACAGTTTGCCATCAGTGAGTGTGAAAGCTAACATCCATTATGATAGGGATTGAAGGTAAATAATTGGTTGATGAGATATGGACGCATATATCAATTACTCTATCTTTAGCCAAAGGCGCACCTCTCTTGAGCATTTCCGACAACAGACTACCTAGTTGGTAGCCAAAGAGACCAGCATCCCAGAGTTTTCATGGCACCCAATGTATTCAAACAGCTGTTGCTCCGGCTTCAGCACCAGTACTTCATGGAAAAGACGCAGACTGATAATATTGTTCAACGACTTCGCATACTTCAAGAATCCCCCAAAAATATCAAGATGTGTCTGGTGCTTCTTGCTCCATCCCTCCAACGAGCTAAGATCGTCAAAGAAGGCGAGACCAAAAGTTCTATCTTTATCAGCCTTATAGGAAACGTTGTCAATAATGTCCATGAACCGACAGCTGTAACATCCGACCTCATCCCCTTGGTCACGAAGGAAGTTCATCCCCTTGATAAGAACAGGGTGCATGGTTTCCAGATACAACTTTCGCTCCTCAGGGTTGGTTTTTGACCAGTCCTGACCTGAGCGAATGATGGCGAGATTCTTCATACCGGAAACACGAATGCGGCGTCGCAAAGGAGAGTTGGTGGTCTTCCTCGCTGTGCGACCGTTCTCTCCAACCAGGGCATCCGTTTGACCCGCAGGGAGACGGTCTCGCATGCTGCCCCAGTATACATGTTCTTTGATGGGACCACTAACACTCTCTCGCATATGTGCTACGCCCTCGATAACATTGGTGTCCGAAAACACAGTTTCGAACCGATCGATCGTCGGGAAAAATACCTCCAAGAACCAGCCGTGGTTTTGTTCTTCGGGATTCAGCGTTTCCCACCAATTCTGGAACCCACTGGCAGCTCCCCATTCTGTATAAGACTCCTTATTTGGCCAGTATGAAATGACGGCAATGTTATAAGCACCGTTCGTATCAGTCACCGATGCTAGCTCCCAAAACGATGGTTTTTGCTCTACAGACGGCGAATCTTTGATGAATCCCAACAGAGTTGACATTGCCGATCCATCCTCTTCGGGGGAAGCGGCGTACTGGGCCCCGATGACTGCCATTACAAAATCTTTCGATGATTTTGGAAACCGGGCGCTGTAAGCAGGAAATGGTGGATTAAAGTTTGACGGCGTACTCGCTGGTATTATCCTCTCTTGCAAGAGATGTTCAGGGATTGCTGACTCGAGCATTTTCGTGTATGTCGAAGGTTTAAATATGATATATAAAGAGAAAGAGGACAAATTTTATCAAAAGGTCAGAACCAAAGGGAATGTTTGCTTTCTTGTGTCTCCTCGAGGCCCCTTTACTATTAATACTATTATTCTAAGAAGGAGTTGCAGTCGGATCATTGTTTGTCAGGAGGCGAACCCCGCTTCTTGAAGCTGGAATCAACGCGCGGAGTTAGCGAAGGCAATATCCATGTCAGCGGGAAAAATCTTCATGCAAGAGCAGGTTGGGCTTCATTGTCAATCCGGTGGAAGCTGAGACTCAAGGCTGGCTGCCCTATCAAAGCAAGCAGTAAGCGGCAAAAGGTTAATTTATCTCAATAAAAATGGTGCAAGCATCGTATCCATTCGAATTCGTCTGATATCAAATCCGCCCAAGTACTTACTGAAGTTACAACAGATGGTCTAGCGCTGCTCATCACTGGAGAATATTGAGCATGGCGTGACACACTATGCTACCATATGTTATTTATCCAGGTGTTATTGGTGCACTTCTCATGGGAACTCCTCAAGCTCATCAGGCTAAAACCTTGCAGGGTTGGAACGGCGCGGGGTTTATGAAATAAGGTTGGCCCCATCGTTTTTGGGAACCTTCCGGCGGAGTTGGTGGAACTTGACCTCTATATCTAACTAACGTTAACTAGAAGATTTCACAATGAATGAGACACCTGTTATGATTTCGTGGCTGCCTCTCGCCGCCACAGCAAGACCATGTGTTTCCTCGCATGGCAATACGCGCATCAAGCTCGCTATGAAATACTGCTCCGAGTCGACGATGGACCTTTTAAGGGTTATTTTCCCTCTATCAACTAGATGCTTCCCCCGTTGAACTAGAATTTTGAACTATCTACATATGCCTTCATTTCGTTCTTTGGGTTCACCTCTGTTTGCCTAGTCTCGAAGATGGCAGTGACTCCTTTCAAGGTGGAGGCATGGTCGGAATGTGCTGTTGCAGTGCTCATTATATCCGTTAGGATATACTATCGCTGCTGGCGTGTCAGGCGAAACTGGGACGGGGACGATTACTTCGCTGTCCTCGCAATTATATTCTGGGCGGTATGATACCCTGATCATGGCATCCTATGTTAAAGAGACGAATTGATCAATCCTTCAGGCGCAAACATCCATGCTTGAATTAATCGGTAGGGATTGAAACCTGTAACTTTTGTACCACTTGATGAGTTATTCGTTCTAACGAACAGTTTTTCCAGGTCGATATGGTACGACTACAGGAATGAATGATGAGATTGCCCTCAAGCTCACTGAGGAGGAGAAAAGACGAATAGTTATTGGAACCAAATGTCTCCTTGCGGGCTGGTGCCTTTATGTCACATTGATCTGGTCCCTGAAATCCTGCATGTTGTTTCTTTACAAAAGACTCACGTTAGTAGCTATTCTGCTATGAATATTCTACTTTTCCGCTAATAAGCTATACAATCAGTCTGAACCTTAGCCAGCAACGTGCAGTTAGAATAACTGGACTAATCTGCACCCTGGCCTACATCGCAACTCTTATGGTCATTCTAACCCATTGTCACCCGATACAAAAAGTGTGGCAGATTTACCCTTACCCTGGTGGTAAGTCAGTCGAAAGTATGCTTCTTAGATGAGACTGCTAACACATCTGACAAGATTCTTGCGCTTTAAACATCCCGAACTACCTGGCATTAGTGGTGACAAATGTGTCGTAAGTTTACTTTCAAAGAGTTCTGGACGAAGGATATAATTGTTTTACCCGGTCTAATGCTATCAAAGGACCGATGTCATGATCATTTACATCCCTCTTCCCTTGCTATGGAAAGTGAAAATTCCACTGCGCCGGTATGAAAGCAACAGCTCGCTTGATGCATGTACAAACAGGTCACTTATTTATTCTACTATAGGAAGGTTCTCTTCGGAGCATGGCTATGCACTGGAATTTTCATCATCATCGCTGCTATCGTTCGCTGCATTTTATGTCTAAGGGACGTTCGATTCATCAACATTGCAACCATTTGGTCCGTTCGAGAAACTGTAAGGCGGTCCTTGCGATGAACCCTCTCAACGCTCTAGCTCATTTCCTCTCCATAGTTCGTCGCAACAATAGCCGTCAACATCCCTGTCCTGAAGCCACTGTTTTCAAAGAGCTTTCGACTCGCAACGACAGGTTCGTCGAGTAAAAACACCAAATCAACCAGTCACGACGGCAGCCACCAGCTTACACGAATTGAGCGGAAGGAAAAGCAAAATAGGATTCGTATTGCAATGGGACTGGCGACGATGGATAACAGCAGCGAGGAAAGGATGGTGCAGGGATTTGATCCAAATTCGAAGAACAATGAGTACGTGATTTCGACGGGCAGTGTCGAGACTGTTAATCACGAGTTGAGAGAGCCGGCGGAGATTCATGTTACCACAACCTACAATGTTTCTTAATAAAACTATGCTTAGAGATTATGTTGTGAATCACTTCACTCTGTGATGGAGAATGGGCAAAGGAACGGTTGAATTTAAAGGAAACAGGAGAATGCCGTAAAACGCTTTTGACAAAAGGTTATGTTCTACGTAAGCTGCAAACGTCCTTTTTACGGGCTGGGAATTCTCATGATCGTGCTGCCTTGTATCAACTCCTATATCCCCCTTGTTTCTATATAGGGCATGCTTAGATGCTTCTATCTTCAGAGCTTACATTTTGGTAACAATTTTTCTGTTACACGGGGACGATCGAGTCGGTCCAGTAGGAGAACTCAGGCCGTCAACCAGAAACAGGCTTTTACTTGCTTGCCGGTGTGCTTAGTCCCTGTCGATTGAGGGAATAGATTATAGTCAGTGGCTACGAAGGAGCTCTCGATGCCTGAAACTTGAGTGACATCCGATTGACGAAGCTATCTCCACTCACCAAAAGCGTGATATAATCTGGTAGCACCAGCTGAAGAGGTGTATAATAAGAGAACGAACCACTGCAAGTTTATCCACTTGCTTTTTCAAGTCTCAATAGACGATTGAGGAGGGGTTGAGGGGAGTTTGCCTAAGAATTTCAAAGGTAATTCTTTGGATTTGATAAGGTGAAGGATAGCCGCCGCTGTTGTTCTCATTGTTAATCAGCCAGCTATTTGCTCCTGCATTCCATAGTTGTTGTGATTTTAATTCTACGTCAGAACAAGACCTTGAAAGCCGAAGATTTCCCTCCGTGGGAAGAAAGAAGAAAATGAAAAATCCACAATATCGCAAAATGCGTGGTGGTAAAATGACTTTTACAGAAGGTTGAATATCAAGCACTTGACCTGGCCCTGCCTTGCTCTCTAAAAGGTAAGGGTTTAGAAGGAAACAACGCCATACAAATGCAGCAAATTGGAAGATGAAGCATGAGGTTGGAGTCATTCAGAGTTCGTTAAGAACAAAATCGACAAAAGAACCAAAAAAAAAAAAATATTGAAACATAGAATAATGCGCAAGCATTGAACATCATTTGTATCGTCTTGGAAAGAGAAATAGAGGTAGGAAAAAACTATGTAGGCTTCCTTTACCTCCTCTCCTGTCCGCCAACCATGAACGCCAGTTGATGGTTTTTTTTTTTTTTATGGCGACCCGGTCAGGCCAATATCGGAATCGCTTCCCATCATCGAATTTTCATCCCAACCATCTGAAGGGAAGTCAGAATCTGAAAAGTAAGGGGAGGTGGTTAGAAAGGAAATAAAGAGCAGATGAAGACATAAAAAGAGGGCGTTTGCTTACCAGACGCCATTTCATCCGGGAGTTCGACGGATAACTGCTCCAGCGCAGAGATTACAGCTAGAATTGAGGAAGGAAGGTTAGGTCACAGCGATCCTTTGTAGAGATATTGAGGGCAAAATAGCGAGAACGTGCTTGAAATGTAAAACATACCTGTAGCTTGCTGAACAAACTCCATATCCTCAGTGTCATTCTCGTCATAATACACGTCTATACAATGGGTAATGACGAGAGCAATCGTCTCCATCGACCGGACTTCCGCCGGCTGCGCATCCGTTGAGAGATACGTTCTTCGCAATTTCTCTACACACGCCTGTGTCAGATCCTTGCCGATCTTCTTGTAGAACTGCCTGAACTCGTCGCCAATTTCCTCATACTCTTTCGAAAAGAGGAGCTGTCGCAAGAAATCAAACGTGTTATTCCGCACACTTCTCTCGGGGTAATGAAGAAGCGTGGGCGCCCAGTCAGGTATCCGGTCGACCACTGCACTCCAGAACCAAAACTCATCCTTAGACATCTTATCATTTTGAAGGTTTATCAGTGATTGGAAAAAGGCGAGATGTTCACGCCCTCCACTATCGTTGATGGACTCCACGCCCTTGGACACGTAGTCGATCAGACTGCTTATCTGGTCGATATCTGAGGACATTTGGCAGAAAACTAACGTTGCTTCCAGAAAAGGAACGCATAGGTACGCAGGGGATACTCGTAGGCCTTCCTCGAGGACCTTGCAGATGCTTTCCGTTAGACCACATTCAGGATCAGCAGCTAGAAAGACGCTCACTATCTTCCTGGATACTGGTGGATTCGCCTGTTGCTCGAGAATTTTCTTCAAAAGAATTAGATCTCTGTTCCTCCCGATCGGTCGAACCAGCTCCCCTTCCGACCTGGTGAGTGAATATTTACCCATAACGCAATCTCGAGGCTGACTGTCTGGCGAAGGTGCCAGTGCAAAATCGATATGAGTCATCAGAACATAAAGCACCTCCACAAGCTTGAAGTGCGAATATTTGCGACCCTTTTCAACAAGTCGGACATAACTGCCATATTGCCGTTTCAGTCGCTTGTTGTCCTCTCTATCCAGCCAGACAATTTCCAAACACTTGAGCAGGAAGCCATGATCGAGCATGACTTGAACAGGGTAAGGTCCAAGGTTAGCAAGGCCGAGGAGCAGCTCAAAATAGTCATCCCAAGCCCGCGAGTATATATGTAGGCAACCCCACAGCTGATCGAGAGTATCAACAACAGCATCGACCATAGTCGTATAGTCGTTTTCATAGCGGACCAATTCGTCATTCTCAAGAGTTTCTTCGACTAGTGGCTCCTGCAGCCGTTCGAGAGCGGTAACTAAAAGTCGACAGAACCCATCACGGACAACGTTATTAGGGCTCTTTAACAGAAGATCTCGAATACCCAAGGGACGAACAACAGTCCAGCGAAGGACTGCCATAGCCCCCTTGGTGTTTTCGGTAACATTCCGCCCCAGTTCGATAATAATATTTTCTAATTCTGGTAACTCTTTCGACCTCGAGATAATCTGGTCCAAATTATCCAGTGCGATAAAGATGGCTGCTTTGCGTATCTTATTGAACCCCTTTTCTCCAATAGCGGAGAATTTCCTCGTTTGTTCCAGTAGAGAGCGGACGAAGTATGCATGGTAAGGGTCTAGAAGGCAGTAGGTCCGAATGAAAAGTTCATTCTCCATGGCAATGTGATTTCCAAGCTCCAGAGGGAGTGGAACACTGACAGGTGAATCCCCGAGCGATGCTGCATAGACAGACTTGGCCTTTTCCATACTAGAAACCCGCTGGTAAAATAGCATGTAGGCATTCCACACTTTATTAAACCGAACCTGGCCTAAAGACGAGCCATGAATGGGGTCGTTCATACCTCCAAAACACTGGTCGGGTATCTTAGCAGGATCGAACCTGCTCACGTCCGAGTCATTGAATTCAACCCAAGAAGCACTGGTATCCGCGGCGGTGGGGCGCTCCCTGATATACGAATAGTAGTGTCCAGACTCGGCAGTGCCACTGTGCACGAGAACACCAACCAGCTCGAAGACATCTGGCGAAATCGGAGTTCCTGGGTTACTTAGATAATCAACTGTGTACGGAGTCATATCAAGGCGTTCTGGGAATTGGAATTCATCGTTAATCTTGCTGCGTATCATGGATATGACATCAAAATCGAAACGCTTGAGATGGAATATCAAGTTATCCGGGAGGTCTTTCAAACAAGCCCTATATATTCGTAAAAATCAACATCCGCGAAAGCTTCCCCACATGGGCTGAAGGAAACAAAAAAGCTCACCTCTTAACAGCATCGACGTGACGCCCACACGAAGTGCATGAGTACTTATTATCTGCAAATCACTCAGCGTTGTGTTCTTCAGAAAAATTTTTCCCAAAGAACCCAATACAACTTACCTCCCTGCATCACCTCCCCCTCAACGTAAGCACGCAAACTATCCTCAAGTCCAGCCTTACCCTTGATATCACACTGTATTGCAGAAAACGGCTCAAGCCGCTCCGAAATATGTGGACACTCCTTTGACTTAATCTGCTGAACAAGCTGGCCACCATAAAAGGACCTGAAGAGCTTCTTGTCCTCCGATGACAGGATCTGGCTCTCCCATCGATCAAACAGCAAATTGTAGAACTCATCTACGTCCATCTGAACATTGATATCTATAGGCTCATTGTCATACGTCCGGATGGTATCAACTGCCGCCTGCGTATCGACGCTTTTCTGCCATGTATTTTGCATGTAGGCAAACACCTTTTTCGTTTCCGCGAGTAGTTTTTGCGTGGAGTCCACGTCAGCAACATGTACCTCGATCATGAATTTGCGAAAATCGAGATTCATGAATAACTGAGTAAATAGGGAGTTCAGATAGCAAGTGTTGGACAAATTCTTCAAGCCGGCATAACCTTCTGGAGAGCGGATTGTTTTATGTCGATCGAACACCCAGTTTGGTTCGTACGTGTAATCTGCAAATCAATAAGTATATGCGTTGCAATTACATGCCTGGGTAGAGGCGGAGAGGTAAGATCATACCATGTGGAATTACATCAGCAAGCAATGTCAGCATTTTTTCACAATTCGATTGATCTTCACACAAACGTAAGAGAATGTTATACAATTCCTGTCTGGTGGCAGTGTGCATGACGGGAACGTTTGGATGAATTGGCTCCGTTTCGGAGATTTCTGAAAGGTCGGGGAATAGGTAGGTCGTGAACAAATCTTCCATAAGATTACTACTTCAGCAGTTAGCATGCGACCCCATATCTGTACGTGACAGTTGGAGCCGTTATCTTACCTCGTATCCACGGAGCTGATCGTGGCATGTGCCAGCTCCAAACACATTTTCAACAGGTGTGTAAATCCCAGGACGACATAGTCAACAGGCTCTCGACCGACAAACTAACAGATGCGTCAGTAATTCAAAGCAACATGGGGGGGGGGGGGGGGGGGGGGCCTTTTTTTAAAGGGGTTTTTTTTCAGGACGACTTCATGCGTGCGATGCGTAGCCATATATCTCCCCAACCTCAAGTACTCTCCAATATAAATCTCCGGGAGACAAATTCGCAACCGTCTGAAAAACCACAAGAGCAACCTCAAAAAATTCCTGTGACGACTTCGCAAACCGCAGCGTATCAGGGAACAGCCCCGAAATATCTTTCCACAGCGTTGCCACAATATGTATCGTCGTGGCAGTGGGGAGTTTACGAGAAACCGCAACCTCCTCTTTCGTCTGATTCCCCTTCCACCACGCCCACTTCTGAGACGGGTGAGTGCCGCAGGTGGAAAAGATAATTTCGGCAACTCCCTTGCGGATGCCTTGGCGAGGTTCAGCTAGGAGGAGGGCGTAGATGAGATCCTTTATTTGCATGGTTTGTTCCACTGCGTCCCAGACACGGCTGTCATGAATGGAAGCTTCGATGATGACGGCAAAGGAATTTGAGATTAATCTTTGGATGGAAATCTCAGGGAGCTTTGTGGATGAAAGGTCGCGGCCGAGGGAGATGATGGAGAGAAGTCGATTGGCGAGGGCTGAGGGATTGGAGAAATACTGCTCGGAGTCTTCGGGCAATGATTTGGCTATATTTGTTGCGTTAGTTAGGAGGATAGTTCCTCAAGTAAGAGGTGGAGAAGAGGTGTTTGGCTTTTACCTGTCAAAGCTAGGAGGAGACATTCCACGAAATTGCATGCAAAAGAAAACTTTAACGGATTGTCTTTTAAACTATCAGACATCTGCGGTCGGGTAAGGAATGCAACCAAGTTTTTGATGCTGTGAGATATAAACTCTTGATCTGGGTTTGTCTAGACACGGCAAAAAGTTGTTAACAACCAATTGAACTCTCGCAATAACATATAATCAGCTATAAATCCTTCATATTCACACATACCTCTAAAATATCTTCTCTAATACAAGCAATAAGAGCGTTTATAGAGTAGAGGAGTTTGTATGGCTTCTCTAACGGAAACATCTCCGGTTCCGCTATGTTCTTGGATCTAACAAAATCTCGAACCCGCTGCTGAGGGGGGAAGACAACCAAGAAGTCGTATATCTGAGGAATGGAAAAAAATAAAAAATCAGTATCGGGGGATTTGGAATTCCTGTCTCATATCAAAAGAGAAGGGGAGGAATTGGGAGCAGGTTTTTTGTCAAAAAAACATACCTCCTTCGATAACTTCTCCTCCAGCCCCAGCAAATCATACAATTCATCAAAATGCTTCAAAACCTCCGAATCCACCAACGTCAGTGACTGCCTCCTCGCCCCCGTACCACCACCACCAGCACTAGTACTACCATCAACACTACCACCATCATCCCCATCCGGATTCTTCCTAACCATCAACAACCCGGACCCAACAAGCTTCAACTCTCTAATCGTCCTCTCACCACAAGCCGCCAAATCTAACCGCCTCCCACAGCTAAAGCTGGAAAAGCTCTTGAACCCTGTCAGCCGCGATAACTTCTCTGCCAACTGCGCGCCTGTGGTTAGGTCGCTGAGCTTTATGGAGCGGATGCGCGTCTGCGAGTGCCCGGTGAAGGCTTGATAGGAGAGTTTGACGAGCTTTCCGGCTACGTCGTCGAGAACTACTTCTTCCTCATCGGGGTTGGGATCAGCGTCGGCATCGGCGTCTTCTGCGTCTGCGTCTGCGTCAGCGTCAGCCTCAATGACAGGGATACCGTCACCAACACCATCGCTATGACCATCACGGACGCCATTTTCGTCGCTGTCGGCTTTCAGAAGTAATTCTGACGGGCTAACTTGCAACGGTGTATACTGCGGCCGTGTTCTTAAGCCCTGTAACAACTGACGCAGAAACAGTAACGACCGTGTAAATCTTAACTCTTCAGCACGCACCTCCCCATCCGACGGTACAATAACCATAGGCTCATCTTCACTACCACTCGTAGACCCGTCAGTGAACGCTTTACACTTCGCCGCCGCGTCCGTGAGTTGGCTAACACAGCGCTCGACAAGGGCAACATGTGTAGCCTCTGCAGCAGACCGTGGCGCACGTCGAATGAGCCCATGGTCAAGATAGACCTCAATAGCGAAGTTGGTAGCTCTATTTTCAATCGTGCCTGGCAGAGCTGTGAGGATGAAGTGCCATATACGATCCATTCCAGGGATAGTGATGATTTCGTGTTCGTGGGCGATGGGGGGTGGGTCAAAGCGCATTTCGTAGGTGATAGCTTGTTCGGCGAAGGCAAGGATATCTACTGTGTAGTCTTCCGGTGCGATGCGGGGGAGGTAAACGTTTAGATAGCGTTCGAGGAAGCTGTTGCGTTTTGTGGAGCGGGATGTTACTTTGGGTAGCGTTTCCCATGCCAGGCTGCGACCGCAGTCGCCAATGGGTTTGGACATGAAGACGTGGTTCCAAAGAATTTCGCTTAACTCTGGGGTGATTGTTTCAGGGACTTTGTCGATGATGCGATGTAATAGCTGGATACGCGGGCGCAGACAGTTTCTTACGGTGGGATCTGAAAAGTCCGTGTCTGGCGAGGCGGTGTCGAAGGCATGTGCCAATTCCGTGACTATTAACCGTGTAAAGTCAAAGTCGAGCGCCAGCCGTCGTATATCTTGGATGTCGTAGGGGGACAACAGGGCGTTCAGGGCCTGAATGCTGCCAACAGCGAATTCGTTCATTTCGGAAATATCATCGATGCACTCTTTGTACATTGCCATTTTATCATTGTCGTCCAGACCCACAGATAGTAAATTGGAAAGCTGTTTGCTAGCAAACTTTTGGATGCTGGTTTGCTGCTCAACGGAAAACTCCCGAATGGACGCCGCCTCGCGAATCAAACGGACACATAAGCGGTGCGGGACGATGTCTGCATGTGGCTGGCCAAAGCCGTGATGACGCATTCTCTCCGCGTGTTTTTCCCTCAGGTTATTGAATAGGCAGTCAGTGTACTCAAGCACCCGCGTATCGAAGCGGTTTAAAGGTAGTTCAATTAGTTTAGTACAAAGATACGTCAAAGCGTTCGATCCGGATTGATGCATCGAAAATGTCCGGGTGAGCATCCCCAGCACCTCTGCCACAGTTCTAGGGTCTTGACTTTGCGTTACAGTGTTCCAGATGATGTCCGTGTCGTTATCTGTATATGTGGCTGTGACAACAAGGAAACCTACAACATTTCCACTCCGACTAATCAGCTGAGGGTGCGAATCCACACCGACAATGTATTCCACGATCTTGTTATCCCTCAGGAATTTGACAAGATACTGGATGATGGGATAACTGATACCAGCGGGGTTTCCCTGAATATGCTGCCGCCAGACCGCAACGAGATCCGTCTGCATTGTCTCCATGCCATAAACTCGGAGCTCCATTCGACCCTCAGTGATATGCCTCTTCAAAACTTGAAATTTCCAACCTAAATGGATGATTGCAGGATATTCTTCCGGTTTCGCGTTTTCAGGAACATCAACACCTAGATCTCGCGACATTTGCATTGCCAACTGATGATTTAACACGGCAATATTATGATACGAAAACCCAATGAAGCGAAGCACCGATTCGCTGCTCTCATTAGTAACCCACGAGGACTTTTTTGAAATATAAGACTGATACTCCACATCAATAGAGCGGAAAAACAAATATGCAGCATCGATTGCATCAGCAAGTTCCGCCGTGGAAACCAGGTCGTCGTCCGCACAGTGCCTCCTCCGCTCCATTCCGGAGTCGATGATGTTGTGGGCGATAGTCAGCAGGGCGATGAAGGTAGAAGAGTACTGCGGCCACTGCTGCAGTGTCTTGAGAAGCAATTGCGCAAAATCGGAGAGGTGCCTCACCGCATTTACGGGACCTGGAGTAAGTTGATCGTTAATGCTAGACACCAAGTTAACAACCTCAACACCATAGATCCGTTCAATGGTCTTGTAAAATGGAATCGTGTGCATCTGTAGTAACCATCCCAAGGCGGGAAGGTATGTCTTTGATAGCAAGTTTGGCGGGGAGGCTGCGTCCTTTGGATGAAGTTGCAGCGTTGGGATATCAAGGCGGATCATATGGATGGCAAGCCGGCCAAAAGCCACGGAGAACTCCTCCAAGCATTTCCAGGGCCCCTGTCCTTCGTCCGGTTGAAAATCGATCCTGGTGGTTTTGTGTTAGCTTGAATGATTGGTACAACACAGGTGGTACTACTCACTGCCGCCGCAAAAGGCCTTCCATAAGCAATGGCACCTCTTCCCATAGATCCTGATCGTCGGCGACCGTAGCATAAGTAATCTGATTTAGGTTATTCGTGCAGAGATCAAGCCAGTTCTTAATTGACACAAAGATTGCTACATCGTGAGGATGACCTGTATAGAGAGACCTATTAGTAAAAAGACACCCCGTTCAAAATAAATAAATAATAAATAAATAAACCGGGGAAGTACGTACCCCTCTCAATAAAACTTGAAATCTCCTCCACAGCTTCCCGCACATCACAATCACGGCGGAATCGTGGGAAAGAGTCAGCCAACGAGACCTGGTCATGCATGCGCACAAGGTCAGGTTCTTCGGGGGACCTGAGGGCATCTTCTAAAGATCTCCAGTTTGACGTGCTAGGGTCCTGATCCATATCTTCCACCTCCGCGACCTCAATCTCAGGGCTGTGGGACGGCGACGAGGTTATAGATATAGCAGCGGGCGTATGCGGTGCTATATCCGGAGACTGTGGGTATTGCGTCTGTACTTCTCCATCATGTTCTTGCTGCAGTCCTTGTCCTTGTCGTTGTAGAGGATGTTGCTGTTGCTGTTGCTGTTGCTGTTGCTCCGGCAAAGCGGTCTCTCGCGGCGAAAGGACACTGGGCCCAGGTATTGTGGTTTCTGCGGCGACATGAGAAGACGGGGAGCCACTGGGCAGAAGGGGAGACTTCACATTGATAGTAACTCTGCTGCAGGCACGTTGAGAACCGGGTGATTTGGGGCTGGGCACGAGAGCAGGAGTCGTTGCGTTGCCGGCCACAGGTGCAGAAGTAGTAGTAGTAGTAGTAGCAGTAGTAGTCGTAACAAGGCTGTCGCTGGCACCAACAACGGCAGGGCTTTGGGAGGGGGCAGACATGGGGATAGGCTCGTTTAAATGGTCGCCACTGTCAAGACGAGGACGTTTCCGAGTAGAAAACTGGGGATATGTATCTTCCATGGGAACGCTCGTGGAGCCTGGAGGAGCTTGTTGGAGAGCTACGGAAGCAGCAGCAGCAGCAGCAGCAGCAGTAGTAGTGACAGCAGCAGTAGGACGAGGGCGTGGGCGTGGGGTGCTAGAGCTATCTAGCGGGGAAGCTGCCATGACATTTTTCGGGAGTGACAAGCGTTGGAAGTATTATTATTAATGGGGGGGGGGGGTGATCGGGTGGGTGAGATGTGGGGAGAATGAGTCAAAGCTCCAGGCAGAGAGCGAGAGAAAGCACGTAAAGCGAGCGAGTGAGTGGGTGCGTGGAGGGAGAGTGAGGGTGAGAGGCTGAAGGGGTCAAAGTATAGCGTTGGTGACTGGGATTGGTTGGTAATTATGCTATGCTGAGACTAGGCCGGGATAGGGACAAGCGACGGCGGTCTGCTGGAGGAGCTGGAGGTGCTGGAGTACTTCCACGTTGCATTGAGCAGAGTTTGGACAGAGTGGTGGTGTTGGTTAGACAAACGGAGGGGGAGCGCAAGAGCAAACAAATAGAGTGCAGGGTGATTGGTGGTTGAGAGAAGGATGGAGGAAACAAACCATGGAATTGAGTACGGAGTGTTTACCACCGCCCGTTTATCTTTCACTCTGTAATAGTTACCAAAATCTATTGCTGGCTTTAATTCAGCAGGCAAATAGCAAAGTAGTAAATTAGCAACTAGTTAAAAGAGTATCCTCCTCCTCCTCCTCCTCCCAGCTCTAACTATAACTCGTGAAAGTAGTTCAACTAACCCGCTGACTAGTTGATAGGTAGTTATGTATTTAAATGCCAGTCCTGATGTCGTGTCTGCCTAAATATTTTTCAGCTTTAACAACTTCGGCCCTGAAGCCCGGCAAGGGTTGAATAATAATCAACACTGTTTGAACTGCTTGCTTGCAAACAAGATCCTCTCCTCGGTTGCTCAGTTTGCCCTCTTCTCATTTCCATACATCATATTCTTTTCAATCAATGATCCCAACATCTTTGTATATATTCCGGATGTGTATAGACGACATTTCTATATTGTAGCTGCAGACTTCTTCCTCCTTGGGTTTGCGTCAAACCCGTGACTCCGCCCTGAAGTCATGTGACATCCCGATGACGCTGGTGGACCCGCGATAAGAAAGTGTGGGCGGTTGTTTGTTTGTCGTTATTCTAAGTATCAAGTATTTAGTTGCTCAGTAATCGTATTTCACCCACTGGACTTGATCACAAACCAACATCCTGGATCTCTTCCTCACGTGATATAGTGTGGTTTACTAAGCACCAGTCAGAGAGTTAGTTTGTTGATGCAGCTTCAGCCTTGGTGCATTCATTCAGCATGTATTCTGCAATTATGAGGACAAGTCAACTTATTTTGGCTGCTTTCGTCATTGAAAATAAGGGATTCAGTCAGTGAAAAGCTGTCGAGCTATATGATGTTCCTCTTACAACTTTACATAACTATACTATTGATTATACGCGCAAAGAAGATGATGAAGATGGAGTGAAAGGTGGTTGAAGTTATTGACTCAGATGATGAGAGTAACTTCAAGAGCTGAATGAGCATTCTAGAGTCTTTGATTACAGATGGTTCAACATCATCTTTTGCTGCAATTCTCATTGAAATAATTTCTAGTATGTATGATCTCTTTTTCTCTTCATCTTTTATTCTCTCTGGCTAGACATTCGTTTAGGGGTTACTTAGAGTTTTATATCACGTGGGTAAGCGATTAGTGAAATACGTTATAGTTAACCAACCAACCAACCAACCAACCAACCAGTTAATTACCGCTGAATAGATGATGGGTGATAACTGTTAATAGTTAGTTAACTATTATCTGGCTTCTGCACCAGAGGATTGTGCTAGTTATCCACAAGTAGCTTACTAACTACCCCTTCTATGCCGCAGAACCGACATCCTCTGACAAAACTCGGGCGGCATCAGAGAGCATCGCTCTACGGGAGAGCCTTCACACTATGGAGAATTATGAATAATACAGAATGCCTCCTCCTCCTCCTCCTCCTCCTCCTCCTCCTCTTCTTCTTCTTCTTCTTCCTCTTCCCCTCCTCCTTCTTCTTTCTGAAAGGTTTACGGGAAACCACTGGCTACAAATGGGGAAAAGAGAAAAACAAGGGGGGGAGAGGGGTTCTCTCCCCTCCTCTTTGTCCTTAAAACCGGATTCTCATTCAAGAAAATAAGAGCAACCTTGCAACCATTGGTTCCATGGGTGCAGAAGGGGACACTAGTATCCCCCGCCTGGTGAACAAGGTTACCGAGGTAGCAACTATCTTAACTTGGCAAAAAAATCCCCGGAGAAAAAAACCTATCAATGCTTTTCTGCTATCTCTTTTCTTATTTCCAATTCACTTCCTTGGAAAATCATCCTCTTTCTTTCAACTACCCTTACGGCGTCATGATGATACCCTGCCAGACGGCATGGCATGAATGAAGGACAAAATGACCGGCTTCAGAGCGCAGTTTTGTTCCTTTATCATCCTACCATCGATTTTCACGTCTAGTTTACGCTCCAACAGAAAAGGAGTCATTTTATTTTTTAAAAATAAATAAATAAATAAATAAATAAAATAAATAAAATAAAAAAATAATGTAATAAAAAAGCTCCATTTGAAACGCTGATCCAGAAAGAGCAAAACTGGTAGCCCTATCGCGGGCGCTAGCAGCTCTTCCTTTCATCCATTTTCATGCTTCACCCGCAGTTTGCACTAAATTGGGGACTCATCATTCATTGTCATCAAAGAGCTATGTATGTACATGAGAATGTATATGGTATCCTTTTACTATACCGCCACATGGCCCCCCGCTCTCGCTCCCGTTCCCGCTCCCGCCCCTCCTGTCGCCTCCCCGCAGATTCAACCTCCACTTGCGGCGGCCTCTCCGCTTCTCCTTCCCCTCCCTATGTCATCACTGTTGGGGAGCACCTGAGGAGGCCAGGTGATGATTGTACGGGATGGGGAATAGCGACAGGCGCCGGAACCGTGAAGTCAACCAAAAAGACCCAACCTTTGTCTGACAGGAATCGATAATAGATAATACCCGTCCTCTGTCTGTGTTCTTGGTGCAGGAGCGTTTGTTGAAGAAGGTTTGTGCGGCAGAGAATATAATGCGTGTGCACTCTTGGAAGGTGTATTCCTAGGTATTGGTAATTTGTTAGGAGTTAAGCTTGATTTTAAACATATCTAGTCAAAAAACCAGTCCTACACACTCTGCACACACACACACACACACACACACACACACACACACACACCGCAAATATACCTGTATTCAACCTCCTCCCTCAACACCAGGATTAGGGTTAGTCAAGAATAAGAGCTGGGAAATATAATAAAGAATCACTGCCGTCAAGAGTATATAGGGATGTGTTTGACTAGCGTATGTAGTTTTAATGGGGTGGCATCATGGTTCATAGCATAAACCACTCCGCTTTCCAAAAACCACATTTCAACTGTACGCCCTCCTTATAGTTTCCTTTGGAGATATGTAGGCAGAAATGCAAATCCATTTTCCAGATCCGGGCCCGCGCCTTCTAGTGATTTTATTCTACTAGCTTCAACAACCAATTAGTTAACTCGATTAATTTGTGAACTTTGGGTTGCAGTAATATACCATCATAACTTCACATCTCCCCAATGGCCCTGGTGACATTTGACCATATAGTCCTTGCCAACGATGAGGATCCCGAGGTGTTACAGATTAACATCACTGAGGTTGAAAGTGGTGATGGTGCTTTTTCGAATGAGTATATGCCTTTCGTAGTTGATGTGGCTAAGTACGTGGAAAAGGAGGAATAGGCTGTGGTGCCATGCTGCCAGAAGAGAAAAGGGGCCGCAAGACCATGGGCGGGTGAATGATCTTGTGAAGGGTAGGGTTGAGAGGTTGAAGCAGCGGGGAGGGGCAAAGGAACGAGAATTTTAACTGAAAACGCATGAATAGAGTCAGGTCCGCTCGAGGGTATGCCGCGGTTAAGCTTATCGTGATAGTTGTTTCATTGACCTATTATTTCTTGACGTCTAAACATTGCATGTGTACGCAAAGTTCTGTAATTCATAATTCATAATTCAGCGTGATGCATCTGTCAACATTTAGTCGGTCTTGGAATATCAAGTCTGCGCATCACGCCCTAGTGAATCTGTCGTAGCCATCGACGTCTCAATGCGCCGAATTATTCTCGCCGGATTCCCAGCTGCAACATGGAAGGCCGGTACGTCCTGATATAAATAACTCCGCCGTCAGCAAGCAGCATCTCAGATTCACACAACATACGAAAACACACCTTATTAACCACACTCCCCGCCCCAATCGTCGCGCCCCTCCCGATCCTCACCCCCGGCAAAATATCCACATTCCCCCCAATCCAACAATCCTCGCCGATATGCACCTCCTTCCCCAATTCTGGGCCTTTCGTCCCATTCCTCAACGCTGGATCGAGCGGATGCGTCCCGCTGTAGATATTTACGTTGGGGCCTAGGAGAGTTCGTGCCCCGATGGTCACCAGGCAGGTGTCGAGGATGACACAGTTAAAGTTTATGAAGGCGCCCGCGCCCACTTTTACGTTAAAGCCGTAATCCATGCGGATGGGAGCTTCGATCCACGGCTCGTTTTCGAAGAGGGCTTCGTCGGCTGCGGGGTCCGTCGCGGGTTGGGGGAGGGGAGTTGGATCCTGGATTATCCTGAAGGATTACAAGGGCGCGGAGAGAGTATGTGTTAGTGACTTTGATGATCAGAAAGAACGGCTGAGTGGAGATGCCGATTAGCAGGTGGTAATGATGTGGTGGGAATACGTAAGATTTGTCAAATAACTTGGGAAGATGGAGGAGTACGGAATGGCGAGCTACATTTCAAGATAAAAGGAAGTGGGTATATAACAACCACACGTTGGGAGCCACTCACTCTCTCCACAGCTCGATTTGCCGTCTGCGGGACACTTCTCCCGAATCATTGAATCGTTTACATGCCCACTTGCACCTTGCACGCGCAGCTACAAGGTCCGGAGTAAAGGCATGGTAGAGTTCGCCGCGCAGCATTCTCTCTCTCTCGGTCCGCCCTGCCATGTTGTCAATGGGTTGAATCTGAAGGTGATATCGAGCAGAAATTGGCAGCTGTTAGTTTCCCCTTCGTGGACACACATTCTCTCCCTTTTCTATTTCTTGGGATTGTTGCGGTTTAAGGATGTCTAAGAATGGGAATGATGGACTGTGGGGTGGGTTGACTTGGACTCCGGGACTTGCCGGTGAGAGATCCGAGGTTGGTTAGTAACGGGCTGTCTATCTCAGTTAACAGGCCAGTTAATGAGCAGCGAGTTGCTAACCACCATCATGAAGAGCAATTAGCCAGAGCATTGGGATACGCCTCAGGCTGAAGAGTCCACTCCATTCCAGGATATGGGCTCAGCTGAAGAATCTTTCGGGGTGCGGAATTCTCTCCCCCGTCCTACAATTGAATGGTTGGAGAAGTAAGCCATGACGTCAACGGCAGTCAGCAAAGGTCCTTGAAGCTTCGAGTCAGCGAGCGCTAAGCCAAGCCCGGCGAGACAATACTCATCTCAGCTTTCAATATCAAAGAGCCACAGATTGTAGTTAGTGATGTTAACACATAGCAGACCATTCAAAGACCAAATGAACATCCTCTGTTTTACGAGCTAATTACAGCCTTTTTATTTATTTTACTTCGGGGAGCTGATGAGTTCGGACCGTTCATAATGGGTCCGATTTCCAATACAGTTTCTCCATCTCTCCTATAACTTTTCTCTCTCCGCATCAATTTCGGCTCTGTTGCCTCGTCCGCTCGCTTCGCTGATACATGAGTTTCCACTTCTCCCACTCCGGAAAATACCTCTCCACACTATCCCTTAACCATGGAGTATGAATCAGAGACGTCCTCCGAAAGCATTTCGTCAAATAACCATGATACCCCACCACCAACCCTAACCGATCCCCCCTCCGCCAGCGGCGGCGAATGGCGCCCTTGTCAACAATACGTTCCCTACAGACGAGAACGCGATACAAATACTGCTCCTGATCCCGCTCTTACAAAGCCATTGAAAGCAGCCGACCCCGCGACCCTGCCAGGAGGCAAAAAGTCTCTTGCCGGCGTATCTATCCGCTCGTTCATTCTAGGGCAGGTTTTCGGTTTCTCCCTCCTCCTAACCTTCCTTCTGTTGAAGCTGTCGAATCCGCTCTGGCGCGCTCCGTTTTTCCTCACGACTCTCAGCCTCTTCCATTTTCTCGAATACTATCTCACAGCTCAATATAATACCCCCTATGCGTCGATATCTGCCTTTCTGCTCTCCTCGAACGGAGCGGCGTATAATCTTGCACATACCTCTGCGTTGGCTGAGTGTTTGCTAAGTCGCCTGTTTTTGCCTGTAAGATATATTAGATGGACATCTATGGCGTTCGGGGGGATTAAGGTGCAAATTGGTCTGGGATTAATTTTCATGGTTGTCGGACAAATTGTCAGGTCGTTAGCAATGCGACAAGCTGGGACAAATTTCACACATACGATTCAATCCCGGCGAAGGGAAGGGCATACGTTGGTTAAAGAGGGCATTTACAGCATCCTCCGTCACCCGAGTTACTTTGGCTTTTTCTGGTGGGGCCTAGGGACTCAGCTTGTTCTGGGAAACGTTGTTTGCTTCTTCAGCTATGCCATTGTGCTTTGGCAGTTCTTTTCATTCCGTATAAAGAGTGAGTTTTCTCCACGTGGGCTTGCAGACTTCTTTTCTTTTTGCTTCATGCTGATGTTGAGTTTCTTCAGGAGAGGAGAAGCTGCTGGTTGGCTTTTTTGGTAAGGAGTACATCGACTACCGACAAAAAACACGGGTTGGAATTCCCTTCATTTCGTGAGATACAGTCCAGCTTGAATAATTTTGACTGCTTCTGGCGCACATTCGAACCACTCACACCTACTCCTTTACCACCACCACTGCCACCACCGACACATCGCGCCTGCTGGGATTATGAAAACGGGGGCAATCAGACTTTTTTTGATGAAAAATGGGTTTTTTTTTTTTTTTTTTTGGGGGGGGGGGAAAGGGAGTGAAGATAAAATGCATCTTGCCGTCTTTTTTGCCCATCTTTCTATGCTATCTTATAGTTCATGGCGTCATTGGAAAAATTCTCTCATGTAATTTGCCGTGGAACATGGGTTATTTCGTATACCATAACTGAAATTTTTATGTCGCCTTGGAGTCACTTGGCGTTTTCGCTATTGAGTTATCGGGTAGAAAGTGTGGATTATCTTCGTCCCCAGGGCCGCAAATATGGACTTCAAAGTGTAAAACATAGTATATACCTAAAAAAACTGTACAGTGTGCAACCTGATCAGGTTGACATGTAAACCATCAATATACTTCATTCCACGTCTATATCTGCTCCCGATTACCTCGTTTTAAAACGTAACCATCGTTCACAGCTTACTCTGCAACTCCACGCTCCCAATTCCCCCACTCATATACGGAATCTTCACATCTTCCTCAGACCCAAACAACACCATCTCCCTCCCACCCCTAGTACTCCACCACATAACACAGAAATTCGCCCGCTCAACATCCATCTCCCCACTACTCAGCGCATCCCAAAACCTCTCCTGACATTGCTGCCTCATCGTCCTATCCGATATAACATTGACGAGATGCGCGACGAGGGGAAGCCATTCCTCCAGCGCATCGAGGCGGAGGTAACATAGGCAATCGATCAGGGTTAAGGTGAGGATGGCCTGTTCGGATAATTGGGGTGTATTATTGGTGATATGGTTTTGATCGGCGGGGGTGGGAGCAGAGGTGGGTGGTGCTAGTGGGATGGTGGGTGCTTGTAAGGCTCTTTCATATACGAGCTCGAGGAGGATGGAGGGGAGGAGGGGTTGGCTGTTTGCTAAAGGGGAAGGGGGGGCGGTGATTTGTAGAATTGTTTTGTAGGCAAGGCGGAATTGGCGGGCGGAGAGGTTTTGGGGGAAGACCTGGGATATGTATTAGCAAAATATCCTTTTTGGTGTGAATGAACCCATTTTTTTTTTTTTTTTTGGCGATTGATACGTACTGCGAAAAGTGTGTTGACGTAAAGTGGGAGATGCTTCACGGCCATATCTGCACTCTTGGGTGAAGCTAGGACAGCTAGTACGACGCTGTGCGCTGCTTCGAATATTTCTAGGAGGTTATTGTTGCCGCCAGCGGCGAGATAGGGGAGTGCAGCGGCGATTAATAGTTCTTCGTTAACGGTTGGGGAAAGTACTAAAGTAAAATGCTCCGCTATGTTTAGGAAAAACAGATCTAGGCATCTATCAATGGGATAATCTGGAATACGACCAGCTGTTGCAGGACGGATACTCTCTAAGAATTCTTGGGAGAGAGCTGGGTACTGTGACAGGATATCGATTGCGGTAAGATTAACGAAGATATACTGGGAGAATGTATTCTGCCCAATTCGTGCTGAAACAAAACTGAGGTTTCTGAGGATATGCAGGGTCTTGCTAGAAAGCAGTGGGGCACCTGGAAGGAAAGTTATTAGCACGTTAAGCCAGCATAGCGATTCGTGGGGGATCCAATTCTGGGGACTTAAACTTACTATCATCAGCCGCAAGGATGCAGTCATTAATTGCCCTTCCCAGCACTGCCCTTAGAATGATAATGACAGAAAACATGGATGTTTTCAACAATCTCCAGAGAGCCGGTATGGTGGTTTGTCGGGATGTTTCATCAAGAAACTCCGCTTCTTCAGATATATCGACTTCTGACAATTTGTTCTGCCGCCACTGAACCATTAGTGTCCTCGTGAAGTCGAGAAGAGAATCCACAACCTGCATCACCAACCACTGTTCTTGGCAGTTCTCAACAGCGTGTGCAATTAGTCGTGATAGAGGTCCCAGAGAAGAGATGAGTGGCTTCGCCGTTATCGCACGGATATGAAGGTAAGTTGCTGATTGAGAGGACCACTCGAACTTCTTCGCAGGAGTCTCGCAAATGTCCCGATCAACAGCACCAAGGAAGTACCCCGAGCTGAAACCCTCCGGGGAGAAAAACACACTGTCCACGAGAAGAGGAAGGATAAAGTTATAGTCGAATTTGCTCCTTTCAGCATCCGAGAGCAGTTCAAAAGTATAATTCAGCACCAGAGCGATACAATCTCGCGCAACTCTAGGGAACGAATCAAGTTCTCTCAATGAAAGCTGTAATGCTGTTACCAAGCCCGATTCCAGTTTCCTCCGCATATGTAATGGCAAACTGCGTAGACCCTGACCCTCCAAACCCAGCAAGATCCCTCCAAGCAAAATAGTATGTCTCCATCGTGGGGACTTGTCATCTGCGCCCTGGACTACCGCTTTCACCCACTCTGTCCGCTCAAGTCCTCTCCTCTGTATATTTAGTGATAGGGGCCCTTGTTGTTGCGATTCATTGTGCACGACGCTGATAGCTGCAGTATTGAACACGCTGAGAATGCGCCGGCAGGTTTCGAGATTGACGTCACCACTCCATAGGGCTGGGGAGTGCAGCAGTTGTGATGACAATAACGTTACATTTAGGGGATTGGAGAGCAACGCAAGGAGTCCGGTCGAGGATGGCAGGAGGCTACGTATAGAAATATGTTAGTTGCGGGTTGGATGACATAGGAAGAATTGACGGAATCCTACCTGAAGGTGTCTTCTTGGTTAACGGAAACTGTGTGAAGAGAGCGAAGAAGGATAGCGAGAGACCTCTCAGTCCCCATTTTGGACCGTGGACAGGTTTCTCCTATTCATTGACGTCCAGGCCGAAATAGTTACAAGAAGTAGAGTTAGTTGGTTGATGTATTCTGTTCCTGATGTTTAATATCCTCCGAACTGCCGAGGTTCATGAGCCAAGCTTTCACATGACAGTGCAAACAGTGCAAACATAAGCGCCTCGCAACCTTCCTCGATCATCGTCATTCCCCACTTCAGGGTCAACGCAACAGCTAATGAAGAACGTTAACGTGTTTTAACCCCGAATAGCTAAAAAACAGCAGATTCATGATGGGTGCGCATAGCCTATCCCACCTAACCCTTCACCCTTAGGAACAAAAACCAAACATACGCGGAGACCTATCCACCCTAACAAAAGCCAACCATGCACTCTGCCTTCCAAACCGTCCCTCTAAACTATCAAACTCCTCCCTTCCCCTCCCTCTACATCTCCGCAGGCCTCTATCACCAAGGCGCCAAATATCTCTATTACACGGGCGATATATGGCGCTTCACGCTCTTCTGGACCCTGCTCTTCTACATCGGCATCCATCTCTCTACCTCCCTCTGCGCTGCCGTGATGCAATGGCGCAACTGGAAGCTAATCTGGGCGGCGCCGCTGGTATATATACTCGTTGCCTCGTTGGAGGCATTGTTGGCTGGTAGTGTTGTCGGGCTTATGTAAGTGGGAGTGGTGTTGTGCCTTACATGGTAATGCACGTTGTTGGTTTACTGACGTGGAAATATGGTATATATACAGACTTGGAGCTGTCTATGAAGCTGGCAACTATCATATGTCGACATGGATACCGTTTTCGTGGGCGGCAACGAATACACTTGTGCTGATCCTGTCCAGTTTTTCGGTTCGGGGTGGACTGTGGCTAGGCACTTAATTTTTGGAGCATGTCTGATATATCATAAACGTAGCATAAAGCTACCTGAGGTATAACAAACCGACGCTCGGCCTGGAAAAAACAAAAAAACCAACAGGGCACGCAAATCGCAATGATTTTATCCAATACCGGATGCTCTCCCACCCAATTCATTTGGAAATGACCAGACATGATGGATTGTTAAAACACTGCAGGTAAATCACCACTCCATCTCCCCGGATATAAGATTGTAACACCTTTATATTACAGTAATACCATATATGGAGCATATTTTTCTGCTCTGTTTATCTAATATTTCGCCAGTTCCCCCTTCGTTGCTCTTCCATCAAGCTATCTTGCTGGCTTGGCAGAGGTCCGCGTTTCCTTACACCGTTCGAAGAGTCTTCGTTCTGGTCACTGGTTAGGCCTTGAACACCTGGAATCCCTGAGGACTGGAAATTTTGGTTTTGCTGGAAAGCGCCTGTTTGGTTGTGGTGTTGCTGTTGCTGCGCGAAAAATTGATCTTGTAGAGTTGCTAGATCCATGTGTGGAGGAAGACCGCCGTGCATTCCAGGTATGGGGTATGGAGGCGGGCGTGAATTTGGTGGTAAATCGCCTTGCGGTAGAGGAAACGATCCAGAGGAAACCATAGCTGCTAGACGGCTGGGGTCCACTTGATGCATGGATTGGGGTGTGCCTGACGGGGGCGGGGGCGGTGGTTGAACAGCTCCAATCCCTGGGATCAACCCTGGAATCCCCATATTTTCGCCACCAGCACCACTCTGAATACCTGGAAGGAGTGACGTGTCCGGTTTCTTTTGGTCCACAAGCCCCTCTGCCTCGTCTTGGAGTTCCTGCTCCTCCTCTTCCCTCATTTGCCGGCGACCAAAGTTACGACTCCACGTTCCTTGGGCCTCTGCCGCCTCCTCGCCAATATGGAACCTATCCTTCAGATAGCTCGTTTCACCGGGTCGTGCGCGAGACCAGAATCGAGTGAAATTATCCTTCGACCCGGATGCGAGAATGTGGCCAAGCGGATGCCAGTCGAGGGTCCATATGGTGGATGCGTGGGCGTATGGGATACGGTGGGCTGGGAAGATGACTTGGGCTGGCGTATTAGCCGGATCAGCGCTGTCATAGGGTGCAACAGTTGGAACCTGTCCAGCGGGTAGATTTTGCTCATCTAGAAGATAATGGTGAATTGATCCGTCCTCGCTCCCTGTAGAGATAAGTGAACTATGAATGGGGTGCCATGTCATGGAAGATATCGGTTTCTCATG